TTTCTTCTGGTCTATGAGGAATCATCATATTGAGTGGAGAAATTAAACAGTTTCTCTCATTCCTTTCAGTGCATTAACCTTGAGTTAACACCTGTTGGTGTGCTTAGCTTTTTGTGTGGTGTCTGGGGAGCTTACGTATGACTAAAAGGACAGTGTGGCCTTTCTCAGCTCCTCACTATGCTGTGGTGAAACTATTTCCAGGGCAGGACACAGTGGCATCCTAAAGATCTAGATAAAGAGCTGATGAAGAGTATGTTTAAGCAGTTACCACTCAGATAACTAGACACTGTTAACAACTGGGATACTTCATTCCAGGAATTGAAACAACAGGAAGCAGCTGCCAAAGGCTGGGTCAACTCAGGAGAGGATGTAAGGCAGATATCTGCACCCCCAGATAAAACATAGCCCAATGAGGTGTTAGGGAAAGTTGATTCTGTAGTGACATAAATATGTGTATGTGTTTGAGACAGAGACTCTCGTATCACAAGCTTTGAACTCCTTATGTAGCTGAGGATGACCTTATTATTTCCAGTGTTCTAATCCTTTCCTGTTTTGGGTTTTCTCTTTCTGCTGCTGAATCTACCTCTGACATACCACATACCAAAACATGTTTGCTCTCCTGTTTATTCAGTGTATCTTTAGTAAGATTTAGTGTCAAGCTCTACAAGTGGTATTGATGATAGTTCAGGGCCCTGGTCCTAAACTCAGCTTAACAGGAAGGACACTGATAAACATGGAAAAGTCAATAGTGAGAAGTGCAGCAGGGGCAGCAGAGGGAAACAAAGTGAGGGAAAGATTCTCTGGAAAGCCTTAGAATTCTGGTGTTGTCAGCCCACCCATTCCAGCAAATGACCTGTGGAGGAGCAAGAATGGGACTTCCCAGGGGCTGTGCGCAGATATGATGAACAGCATGTGTTGGGGTAACCAGTCCACTACTCCATAGAGCAGTGCTTCTCAACCTTCCTAATGCTGCGACCCTTTAATACAGTCCTCATGTTGTGGTGACCCCCACCAGAAAATGTTCATTGCTACTTAACTGTAATTTTGCTACTGTTATGAATCATAATGTAAATATCTGACATGTGACCCAAAGGGGTCACACAGGTTGAGAGCCACTGCCATAGACTTGTCAGACTCCAAATTGCTGTTACCTGGGTTTGAAAACAATAATCCAAGTTTGTATGTGTGTGTCCCCCAAAGTCCCCAACCTTGGTGATACTTCCTTATTCCCATCCTACCTATAGGCAATTAGCCACTATGCACAGTCTTATATGCACTGCTACAAATGCTGAAACAAACTCAGGGTCCTCAGCCGAGATCTCAGGGCCTTCCTATATTCCCAGGGTCGCTTTTTCAGTTTTGACTGCCTACCCCAAAGGGAGGACTCTAACTCCTTAAGCAGCTAGCCTTTTCTTTGTCCTTAGTATGTCTAGTTTTGCTTATGCTGTCAGATAAGCATATTAGATGGCACCAGGTCAGTCATAAATTGAATCCAAGGGAAGTGGTTTTTAAAAAATGTATTATGAATATAAATGTGTATGTATGTGTATATATGTATATGTTGCATGTACACAGTGGTAGTGCTGAAGCCCAGACCTTATGCATGCCAGGCAAGTATTGTACCTCTGAGCTACACTCCCAGCTCAACGAGACTGTTCTGATGGCAACAACCAGTGTCTTTTTGTGTCAAGCACTGTCCTAACTGCACTGTAGGTTTTTGTCTATTTAATACCTTCTATAATCTAAGTGAGATTGAGAAGTATGTCACTAAAGAGCAAACTGAGGCCTAAGAAGAATATAGAACTTCCAGTCAGAAAGTAACAGAGCTAGTATTTAACTCTGGCTTTAATCTGTGCTCTTAGTCCTAGAGTCTTAGGATGAAGTTTTACAAGGTCAAAGGGTAGTCTCAAGTATAAGTCTTGCTTGCTTTCACCTGACCCTTGTGTTCAAAGAGTATGCAAAGGCACAAGACCTGGGGCGTTTGGGAGAATTCAAAGGACCCAGTAAGAGCAGGTGGTGTCCTCAGCCTCTACAGAGGTCTGAAGGAACTTGGCCAGCCACATGCAGTCTCCTTTTCCTAATTGAGGCTGGTGTGTATTAGTTCCTCAGGTTGTGTGGAACAGTCTGAGGCTGGATTGATGCAAAAGGGTTAACGGTAAGATTTTGCATATTTGCAGTTGGCTAGGAAAACTCAAGCTGGAGGTCTTGCTAAGTGTCTGGGCCAGTGGGTTCCAGTGTGATATTTTATGTGACAGATGGTATAGTCTAAAGTGTGCAAGGAACAACAGTAGGGAACTTCTGGAGTAAGAGTCAGTTAAACACTAGTTTTTACTCTTATGAATCATTTGCCCAGGTTAAATTTGCTTTTAAAACCACCACAAAAAAAGAAAAAAAACTTTTGGAATTTAGATATATTACTATTTATAGAAAAAAAATTCTGGCTGGCCAGTGGTAGCACATACCTTTAATCCCGCCACTCAGGAGGCGGAGACAGATAGATCTGTATGAGTTCGAGGCCAGCCTGGTCTACAGAGTAAATTTCAGGACTGCCAAGGCTACATGGAGAAACCCTGTCTCAAAGAAAAAAGAAAAATTGTTTTCTTATTCAAATTCTAACATTAAATGAGCTTGAAGTTATAACATAACAGAATTAGCACTTTTTAAAAGTATAAAGATGGAGCTGGAGAGATGACTCCATGGCTAAGTGTACTTTTCCTGAAGAGGACTGGAGTTTGATTCTCATGCATCCATATCAGGCATTTCACAACTGTAAGGCCAACTTACATGGGATCTGATGCCGTTTTAGCCTCCAGGCACTAGAACTGCCCTCACATGCACAACGCCCACCCCCCACTATTACATAATTAAAATATTTTTTAAAAACCATCAGGTAAAAGATATGCATAAGATGGGGGAAGCAGATTAGAAATAGCCTGGACAAGGAAGAAAGGGGACAAGTGGAACGCAGAAGTTACAGAAGAGGAGGTGAGTGACAAGGCTCTGGATGGTGGAGCTGCAGCATTGAGGTAGGTCTTTGCTGTTTTCTTTCCCATGTGGGCGGACTCACTTTTGGAGCTTAGAAACCAGAGGTGATAGAGGAGCAGGCTTCCATGCAGGAGGGGCTGCCATCCTGCCATCAGGGCTATGAGCTGTCTGGTGGAGAGTTGTATCAGGCAAGGCTCTTCCTCTAGAACTGTCAACTTTGGGAGCACTTACTAGGTTCATGTTTTACAACAGGCCACTCGTCCACTGGCCTGTTTTCAGTCCACCTTTTGTATTAGAAGGTGAGATCAGTCCTGAGCACCAGTGTTCACAGTGTGTACAAGACATACTATGAAATCTGGTGAAAAATAAAACTCTACAAGAAATTCTCACTATACACAGAAATGTTTGGAACAAAACCATTCCTACATCAAAGACCATGTGTTTCGTCCTTCATAATTCAAAATACAGAATAAAAGCAACTCAGAAGCAAGACTTTTCGTGTTTTGGGGATGATGCATGTGTACAAGTATATATGAATGTGTGTGTAGGAGTTAACATTGGGGGTGTTCCTTGCTCATTCTCCACCTCATATACTGAGGCAAGGTCTTTTGCTGAAACTGGAACTCACTGATTCAGCTAGTATAACTTGCCAGCCTGCTCCAGGGATCCAGTCTCTACATTCCAAGTTTTGTATTACTGATGGTTCACCACATCTGCCTAGCATTTATATAGGTGCTAGGGATCCTAACTCGGCTCCTCCCACTGAGCCATCTCCCCAGCTCCAAGTTCTTCTTAATGGTAGGTGAACTTGGACATGATGCTTACCTTCTCTATACCTTGATTTCACTTGTACAGCGGATAAGGTAGTTCCTATCTCGCTGGATACTGTGAGGAAGAATAAAAATATTCCCTGTATAACAGTGAGCACTTATGATGAAGTAAGGGAGACTTGTGATCCAAATCCTGTCTGTAGCAAAGCACCTGGTTCTTTCCTCTTAATCCAAAGGAGTGTAACACCAATAGCCCCTGGGATTTATTTCCCAGTCCCACAAAATCAGGCTGTTTATGAAGATAAGGTATGCTCATTACTTCACTGTGATAGGGGACCATTACAAGGTACCTTCTAGATCTACAAGAAAAAGTTCCGTCATCTGAAAACAGACTGGTCATGACACTGGAGGGTAAAAAGCACTGGGAACCACTGTGAAGGAAGCTGCAGTGCTCCAGCCCCCCTCTCCTCTGCAGGGGGAGGAAGTGCCAAGGATCCTGATCTGCTGCTGCCTTGGTTCCCATGAGCTTCACTCACCCACCCTACCTCCTCCTGAGCTTCCCTGCACCCATGTCTCCACTCCCTCCCTCCAATACAAGAACTTACCCTTTTTATATCATCCCTCACCTGTCTCCCAGGCTCCATGTCCAAAACCACGCCTACCTCCCCTCCCAGGATCTGCATTTAGATGCTTTCCTTACTGAGTAGTTAAACCTTGTTTCCCTTACTTTTTGGTTTTTCGAGACACAGTTTCTCTGAGTAACAGCCCTTGCTGTCCTGGAACTCACTCCGTAGCGCAGGCTGGCCTCTAACTCCCAGAGATCCGCCTGCCTCTGCCTCCCGAGTGCTGGGATTAAAGGCGTGCGATGGGTCCACCATCGCCACCCAGCTTCCCTTACCTTTTTTGTCGCACAGAGGCCTAGGCTTGGTTCTGCCAATCCTGTCATACTGCTGCTACAACAGTGTCTGCACACTGCAGGTGCCTAGTGAACACTCTTAAGAATTTATCCATTAAAGAAGTAAAATATTTTTAAAAAGACATTACTTTTCACATTTAAATCCTCAGAAATGGTAAGAACACAACAGTTTACCACACTGTAGTGCCTCGAGATTCAGAAAAAGGGAGCAGAAAGTCAGAATTGGATATAGAATTCAGATTTTTTTTCTTTCAGACACATTTTTATACAACTTTCAACATTTATACTTTTAAACAAAAAGCAAAAAAATACACTGAGTGCTAAAAAAATCAAAACAGAAGTAATACAATTTTAATTTCAATATTTAAAAATACAGAAATTAGGAAGTAAGAATTCTAAGTACAACTTTAAGCAAGTCACTTGTCTTCCTCTATAATAATAATATAAGCTACTTAAAGACTTACAAATTCAGAGTAAAACAGAAACAAAATAAATACTGTACACTTTCCCCGCCTGCAGGCAAAAGATGGGAAATACTGTTCTGAATAAAAACAAACGCTCTTAAAGCTTCGGCATCCCACTCCCAGCCACACCCCATTCCATTGTCACACGGTGTGTTTCTGTAGTCAAAGGACACGTGCACACACACTGACTGCCTACACACAGATGAGACACTACTCTGCACACACCCCAAACAAGAAGAGTAACAGTCACCAGGGACCATGGACATAAAAACCAGTAAGGAAAGTCAGGCTAGCAAAACATTACTACAAAACTAGTAAGTACCATAGCCAACAACTGTCCTGTTTTCAAATTTCACAGAGTTAAAACCCCTAAACCAATACTACCCCTCCCCATTACCACCCTCCAACACCCCAAAAGAAAACTTGCTGAAACACTGGCAAAGTTAGATGTTTCACAATAAATGTGAAAGTTCATACTATATAATCTCTTAAAATGAACCTTTTCATCCTTTCCACAGCATGAAACTGTTATGGCTTAATTATATTAAAAGTAGAAAAGTCTTTTCCAAAGGAAATACAGTCTGCAAAGATGCACATGCATTTCCTCTCAGTGCTATTTCCTACTCAACAACTGCATGACTTGCCTGTGCAGTCAAGAGCTGTCTGTGGAAAAACCGAGGTTACAGCATTGATTCGGTCTAACCATAAACTGTAAGGCCCTTAGTTTGGTTTAGGTTTCTTTTGCAAGATAAAATAACCTTGGGTTTCACTTAGCAAGTTACACCTCAGGTCCCTGACTACATTGTGTAAGTTATATGCATGCTTTGTGAAAATAAAATGTTACTTATGAATCTTAAGAGGAAAAAAATATTCTAGGCAAGCAAGCAACTCTACAGTTAATGCTGGCATTTCTTACCAAACAAAATCCACCAAAGAAATATAAGCATATGTCTTGGTTATTTTATTCCTGCAAAATAGTATATATTCTAGCACTTATGATAATTGTTTTGGTAAAAAATATGGAGGGAAAATAACTGATTATTTTGAAAAAGAAAAAAAAACTTGTTGAAGACAAACCTTTTATGATTAAGTTACATTTATGACTGCTTTCTGTAATGAAAAGTGAATCTAGAGTATCACAGGTCTTGCATAGGTAAACTACTTGGAGGTCAAGGGCTACGTGGTAGCCAGGGTTTCATTAATGAATAGTGCAGAGCGGGTAAATTTGTTGGAAGAATCATTGGATACATCCTTTAAAAGGTTTTAAACAGAAAGTGTAATGTCCCAGTTAAGACAAAGCCTTGAGAAACTAGGACGACACCCAGGGTGAGGGGAACCTAAGGGCTTCTCCAGGGAGTGTTATTTGCTTCTCCCCAGTAAAGAGGGGAGACTTACTACAGAAGAATTAAACCATGGTAGTGATATGCCAGCTACTTTGGAAATAGACACTTGCGTTTTAAAAAAAGTTTATATCTTAAAAAATATTTATAGAAAGGGTATCAAATATTTACTTCACTTACGGCATGAAAGCAAAGTAAGGGAAAGGTTAGTAGTAAGGCTACAGTAGGGAGGTTAGTCACTCTCAACTGCAATTTAGGAGAACACTAATTCTTGAGAACATATATGGACAGCATCCACAAACCAGAAGAGGCTACAGTGCCACAGAGCAGGGTCTATGTACGGAAACAAGGACCAGAAACCCCAAAGCCACCGTGTGTCCCTAGGAAAACCTGTCCCATTTCAGTTGGCCACCCTTTTTGACCAGCTTTCCCAAGACAAGAGATACAATGCTTAGTTTTTTGAGACTGAATTAGATAAAAGTCTAGGGTACCAGGACCAGTCTGAAAGCTTCAGCTCCTCTTGCTCTCTTTGTGGTGCTAGGGATAAAACCTAAGGCCTTACACATATGAAAGGCCAAGACCTTCTCTCCTACACAGGGAGCAATTAGTTTAATATATAACCGGAAAGATGAATTCTTGAGAGATAATTAGATTTGCATTATGAAGTTTCTTATTTCTCCATGTGGAAACTAAAAATGCACATTTGCTGTGATAGTTCTTTCTAGCAGCAGTACACTAGGCCACACCATGATTCCCCGCCCCCCCAGCTTGCCGCTGCAGAGCATCTTCTGAAGCAAGCCAACACTCATTTTTGTTGAACACTTCCAGCTGAGTTAGCCTTTCTACACTACTCCTGTGACTTTTCTCTCTCCCTAGGCTATTAGTACCTAACCTGAAAATGTCTTTGTGGAGTTCTTTTTCCTAATCACCTTATTTTTCCCCTAGTCCAAATCTGGAGAACAGTACTATACTAATTCCTCTTTGAGAAAAACCTAAAGCTAGCTTTTCTGTTGTGCTAAATAATATCACTGACTTGATGAAAGCTCTCACTCTTCTTTCCACAAACCAGCTCACTTCTTTTTCTTTCACTTCAGGCATAAAGCCTGATTCTAATTCAGCACCTTGTTGGGAATTTTTCAGGTTTTTAGGTAGCATGCTCTGAGCATTGAGTAGATATCAAGTAAGTGTGATGGTTAGAGCAGTTTTCACTTACAGACTTCTCTAAAGGTGCACTCAGCATCAGGTCTGACTTAACAATTAGCTGACATAACAGCTGAAGAGTGCTGGCTGGTCTTCACTGAGTATCATTTATTTTTATCCAAACTTACAAACAACAAAACTAGGACTCAGAAATAAAACTCAGAATAATATACTGACTCAAGATTGCTCAGTTGACATAAATGGCAGAGCATGGACCAAAATGCAGGACTTTTGCTTCCTTCTAAGCTGTACCACACCTTTATATTACCAACAGAAATGACTAACTTGTGGAATTGTTCTTAAATGTTAAAGGACCGTGGTCTTTTTGTTTTTTAACACTTCTACAGTGGTACATCTCAGTTGAAACTAACGAAGTGAGACTGTTTTGTTCTGTTCTGTTCTCTTTACAAATGGGTCACCTTCTGCTCAAGTTTGCTTGGAAGTGAAAACAATACTGCTAACATCCTGGAGAAGACACACGTTCACAGGCAGACAAAAACTGAAACTGAGATTCCTCTACAGTGCTAACTAGTTCTGGGCACACAGTAGATGTCTGATAAATACCTGCTGATCTCGTTTGAATAACTACACTAAAATACATTGAAAAGGATTAATTAGGATTAGTAAAACACAGAATAGTATTCAACTAGTATTTAACTAAGTATTAAGCTAAGTAATAAACTAGTGATATAGATGGACTTGTCTCCTCTGAGTTTGTGGTTTCAGTAGATGGTTCAATTCTGTGTGCTTCAAAAATGAACTGTATTTATGAATTTCAATGTATTCCAAAGATTCTGAACTACTAAGCTGCCAGTTTTGTATTAATCATTCACCAGTATTGGAGAGCATGATATTATATAATGTTGTGAATTACAGTACAGTAGATTCCAGGTTAAGAGTCACTTAGTTGAATTAAAACAGGATCACTACTGCTATTAAAGCTGCATATGTTAAATCATTAGTTTTCAATTTTACAATTTTATTTGCTTATAACTAACTAAATGCTATCACTGCAGTCTTCTTACTTAAGCTGTAGTATATTGCTTATAAATGAGACTACCTATCACTGTTGAACCCAGATCCGAGCAGCAGTCACACCTCAAAGTCCAGCCATTTCTATGAGATAAAAGGACACATCACAGTTGGGGAATATATAAGAGGTTTGATTAGAAAAGTCACTGGCTATGTAGCTGAATTTTTATCAACTTACAAAAAGATACATGGATTCTTTCTTAGTGGCTATATTAACTTGCTAAAAATTTTGTAATTTAGTCAGTTGTGGGTTAAAATGATCCAAAATGAATCCACAGTACTTTTACTTAAAAATTCCAAATACTGGCAACTCAAAATTAGTGTTTTATCAGCCTAAAGATACAGGGTGGATACTGGCCACAATTTTAATTCATAAAAATATTTATTTTTTATTACCAAAAAAAAGTAGTTAAAATTCTTAAGAGTTATAAAAAAAATCCAAATCATTATAATTGGAAAAAGAAATCATCCATCTTATTTCTTAATCTAAATAAAAATGTGTATTCTAACAATAAAACAGAAAACAAAGACATCACAGTGATAGATTGTGGGAAGGCGAGGAGGGCCAGTCAATCTAGAGTTTTGCATCTTGAGACACGACCACCATCTGGACTGCTTTCCTCTCTCCACTGGTTATGGCATAGTGTAGGCAAGGGCTAGGGACGCTTCTACAGATACTAAATTTCATACAAAATCCTTCTTCCTGACACCCAAAATAAGATCGAAACTTTGGTCCAGACAATCTGGACCAAAAAAGGTGAACTCATAACTTCCTTATACCATGAAATACTGTAAAAGAGGCAGAGTAAGAAATATTTTTCTTTGGAAATACATGTTTTGAATGCAACTATAAAAGATAATGGTACACTATTCTTTCCTTACAACTTAATGCTTAGTGCAGAAGGGAAAGTCCAACTACCTTGCTGAGTGAAAATGACAAAAATTCATTATACAGCCATATTTCTCCCTAAAAATAAATTTCATGTTATTTGCCTATATTGTCTTTGCAGGAATTTGTAAAATATGATACCATCAGACCCCCAGTATCAATTTACTTTTATGCCATGGGGGGAAAATAGGGAGACTAAAAACTATTATAAGCAACTGAAAACTTGCATTTAGTAAAAGCTGTATATAAAGGAGATAAATGATCATCTTAACTAAAGTTTAACTAGACACTTAACCTCCATATGCTACTAGCCAAGACAGATGGAAGAAACTGCAAAAAGCACCCATTTTACTCCAAATCTGTATTGAAATAATTCTTCAGAAAATCACACACACACACACACACACACACACACACACACAGATCTATTCCAACATGCTTGCTTCTATACATCTTAATATAGTATAGTCCTATTGTATTACGGCTTTTATGCAGATTTGAACATCCTAAATCAAATTGTATTTCTAAAAAAATTATGTCTAGATAATAAAAGCATGGGAAGATATAACCTGTGGTAGATGTTGGCTCTTCCAACACTAGCAGTATGAAGAAGGCCCTCTGTAATTATAAAGGTTTTTGGAAATACTACAAACATGACATTTTAACCAAACTTATACTTTCCCCATTAGGAAAAAGATATTAAAGCTGTTCTCTTTGGGACCCAGATATCATCAGGAGAAATGAAAATGAAACAAGCCTGTTTCTTTACATATAGAAGAAAACCACAATGTCAAAAGAACTGAGAAATGAGGACTCTTTTATGTGGTTCTTAAACATTGGCTATGAAGGTGTTTCCCTGCAAAGAGAAGAGTCTTGGGTTGTCTCAATACATTGGGGGAGTGGGGGGTTGCAGTGGAAAGGTGGGGTGTAAGGGAATCAACCTGGATAACAGTATGCACCTTGGATGTTAGCAAAAGCGAAGCTAATAGCTTATAAAAAACACATGAAATATATAAAATAAAATGATTTCATATACATCTTAATTTAAAATAATTAATGCATCAAATCCCTGTTTAAGACTTTAACCTGAATATCAAATTTAAGAGTCCAGACTAGCTACAGTTACTGTGGCTCTTCTCCACATGTAACACATACACTATCAAAAATAATTTAAAAACCTTCACATTCTTAAATCTAAATTAGTGAGATATTTCTCCAGAAATCTTCCAAATAAATAGCTTTAAAAAAGAAAGAATTTAAAAGCTGTTAACTTTAAAAAAAAATCTGTTAAATAAATTATTGATAATTCTTTATCCTACTATTGAAAATAAATCAAGACACTACCAACAACAAAATTAAATTCAAGCCCTGACAAGAGACCCCTTTCCAGTTCAAGGTCTCTTTTTAAGGTTCTACCCTCCTTCTTCCTCTCCCCCACCAGGTCCAAAGGGTTATTGCTGAGTGGGTGTGGCACAGTGAAAATGCAGCATCAGGTTCGTTCTGTTCTTCGGGCAGTATTACTGTACACACAAACTGCTCCAGGCAGGGGACGGTGGAAACTCCAGGCTTCCACACCCCAAGACTGGACTCCAAAGGAAGAGTGCCGCCGCCGCCGCCGCCGCAGCAGCTGTCACACGAAGAAGCGTGCGTGGCCATTTCTGTTCAGTTTAAGGATCTTCCCAAGACGTTGTTTGGCTGTTGCCATTCCTTTTTTTGGACGTTTACCTATAAAACACCAACAACACTGTTAATACTCACAAGAAGTGTATTTGTCATATCATACCTGGAAGACTTAAGATCTTAGAAACCCAGCCACTTTATCACACAAAAGAGAAAGGCCAGCATCCCTCCAAACTATGCTTCAGCAACAAAGTAGATTGCAACTTGATGCATTCCCCAGGAACCACTGCCCTTCTGTGCCTCAGGTCATGCTCTCCTCTGTTTTCATTGCTGTTCTGTACTTCCCTTAACTCAGCCTAGCAAACTCCTCATCCTTTTTAAGCCTCTACTTCCTTCCTGAGCCTCAGAAAGCCACTCCTGTCCCTTAGGATTGGCTTAAGTATCCTCTCATTGTTACTACAGGAGCTCATACCCGCTGCTATCATGCTGTTGTCCATAATGCAAAAGATGATGAGTATAGAGCAGCAGTTCTCAACCTCTGGGTCACAACCCCTTTGGAGGTCAAATGACCCTTGTACAGGAGTCGCCTAAGACTATCAGAAAACACAGATATTTGCATTACAATTCCTAACAGTGGCAAAATTACAGTTATGAAGTAGTAATGAAAATAATTTTATGGTTGGGGGTCACCACAACATCAGGAACTGTATTAAAGGGTTGAAGCATTAGGAAGGTTGAGATCCACTGGTCTAGAGACTGTACCTACCTGCTACCTGCCTTTACACAGAGTCACAAATATACCTAACCTGCTAATGTATGAAAGTTACCTTTTGTTGCCTGGTTGCTGATAGGTGGTGGGTTTGATGCAGGTCTCTTGGTGGGGTGAAGGGGCACTGAAAAGGAAGTTTCACCAATAGGCCTTTCTGGGCTTAGATTGCCATTTCTTATCTGGCATGGCCCTGAAACCAAGCTGGGATTCAGCATGTACTTTCCATTTTGAATGCTTGAGTTACTGCTGTCCACACAATGCCTGCTTTGTGCCTTCTGACTGATTTCTGAAGAGCTTTCCTTTTTGATGTATTTCTGGCTTCTACTTAAGTCCTAAAGAAGGAAATAAAAAAAATGTAGCTGCATTTTTTCATATTTCAGATAAATGACATATTTAAGCTCTCTGCATTAGCACAATCACCAAAGATGAGGAAATAAACTACTCAATTTTGGTTTTATCCCCCTTCTATATTATGTTTCATATATGTGTGTGTGTGTGTGTGTGTGTGTGTGTGTGTGTATAAATGTGTGTGTGTGTGTGTATGTGTGTGTGTGTGTGTACACATGCCTGCTCAAACATCAGGATGTATGTGTAAGGGCCAGAGAACAACTTGTGGGAATTGTTTCTCTCCTTCCATCATGTGGGTACCAGGTATCAAACTCAGGCCATTAGTCTTAGTGGCAAGTGCTCTTAACCAGGGCTCGACAGTACCTACCCTTCATGATGGTCAATTCAGTCCATAACAGACCCCAAGGTTTGGAAGTTTAGTTCTTATTACTTCAGCAAGTAGTATCAAACAAGCAGAAGTGCTGCCTACTATCCTAGAATTGGGAGGAAAACTGAAATAGAAGCAGTGGGCCCACGGTTTCCTTGGCTCATCATGGTTCTCACTGCAATGTGATACCTTTTAGAGTTCTCTTTCCACCATGGGGGTCCCAGGAATACCCAAGCCATTAGGCCTGGTAGCAGGCACCTTTAACAGCTGAGCCATCCTGCTGCCCCCGCCCCATATTACCTCTTTTCAAACATAGCTAGTATAAGGTTCATCTCTACTATATTTGTTTGCTAGAAAAATTCCAAGATCCAGGCTCAAGCCTGGTTTTTCTTTTAACTAGAAGTCCTCTTTGAATCTCTTACAATAATTGAGTCAATTTTTAAGGGGGAAAAAATGTTACTGATAAGTCTTGAAATTATGGTCATGACCACATCAAAAGAGAAAGGAACTGAATAGAAACATGAAGTTTTAAAGAGAAAAGCAAAAACAATATTGAACATCCTAAATCTCTTCTTCATATTTCCACTTTGGAATATACCTGAGGATTAAATCTGGAAGTTCTATCAAACTGTTTAGTCCAAGAAGAGGTCCTCAAATCTTGATCTGCAGTCTTGTCATGGTATCCTAAAAAGAAGTTTTGATTAAGTTATCTTTGCACAAACTTATCTTAAAGCTAGCCCAGTGCTTACAACTGAAAGCAAATGTATGCTAACATTTCATTTATACATTAACTATTTATTCACATACCTTTTCTTTCACTATATTCCTTAAAACAAAAACCCACAGTTAGCAGCTCACAACCAAATTTGCTATTTCTTTCAATTTTCTTGAAGCTATCTTTAGATGATAGGTTGTGTGCTAGATGCCAGAAGACCTACAGTCAAGTACTATGGCCATGTGTTGTTGATGTAAACCAAATGCAATACACATGTCTCTAAAATGACATATTTTTATCAGGACAAAGGTATATTTTCCTGAATTAAGGGACCGAACAGATTATGGGAAGGCAAAAATGGAGCAGAGAAAGACAGGCAAACCCAGATTTAAATTCTTGAGTTCTTCCAAATACCAATGCAACTTTAGATAAGCTATTAAACCTTTCCAAGGTTCAGTTTGCTCTTATGCAATATGCAAAGATTTGGGGTTGATCCTGGGTTCAAATTCCAACAGATTTAAATAATACCTATGTAGACTGTGTGCAAGTTAAATTAACCTCATCAAATCATATTTCCTTTTCATGTAAAATGGAGGTCAAGGTCCTAGTGCATACATGACCCTATTTATGAACTGAACACAATTACTACATGTCCTTTTCTCAATCCTAAGATTTTTGGGAAATCATCTTTTGTTCCTCTGAAAGCACAGGGAAGAAACACTAGGTGGCATTACTGACACGCTGTGTCTGCTCTTTTCCTACTATTTCCTTTTCAAAGAGTTTGAGAAAACATAGCCTCAGTCAGAAACATTCCTTCCACTCTGGGAGCTCTTACAGTTGGAGACAGGTAAACAAGACTATCTTTACAAGAGCAATGATAGAAGTTCACACAATTCTCGGTCCCATATCATTTACAGTTTAATGAACTGTTGTGTGTAGGTACACGTGTGCCACAGCATGCATGTGGAGGTCAGAGGGCAACTTGTAGGAGTCGGTTCTTCCCTCCACCATGTGGGTTCTGGGAATCACACTCGGGTCATCCATCACCCACTGGGCTACTTTGCTGACATACATTCTGAGTGCTTATGCTTGTATCTTACATGACTGAAGTATTTCTTAGTGGTGAACAGTCCTTATTCATATAATCTCTAACCTCACTAGGATCACAGCACTTTAAATTGGGAGTCATATACTACTTTTCAGAGATTGATGTTTGTGTTTCTTACCAAATTCCACTGGCTTATCACAGCGATACAACTGCCTAAATGCAGGGTTACTGCCGTGGCAGCCGCTGGGATCCTGGAGAGAGTTCTTCTCACCACTGCAGTCTGTGCTTTGTATCTGCCTTTGTAAACACGTGGAATAGTGCAACCCTGCCATAGACAGCATGCCCTGAATAGCTTCTTCCTCTGTGCTCGTCGAGGTAGGACATTCCCTAGGAGCAGGTGATCCAAAAACACAACAGTGTATTTTTTCTGATAAAATATTCAGTAAAACTGAAAAACTAAATGGTGTTTTCACAGCATTTACATCACAATATAAAACAACAACTACCATCCACAAGCCTACCTTTTAATTGGAATTTCATTTCTAGATGGCTTCTGGCCCTTTTGAAGGAGGTTCCTCACTATATCAGATTCCTCCTTAAAGTTTGATATTATTTCATGTTTCTTTTCATCACCTGAACTTTCAGAATCTTCAGTGGCAAAATTAATTTTCTGAAATAATAAATCATTAAATGGAAACAAAGCTAAAAAGAAATTGACCAAGGCTGTACAGACTAATTGAAGTTTACCTGTTTAGAAGTTAGAATCTTAATTATCATAAAATTCTGTTTCACATCAAAATCTAAAACTTTCTAGTAACTATAGTAATAACCTACTGCCTGAATACAAAACACACTTACACACTTTAAGGTAAAATAAAATATAACCTGTCAGAACATAAACCACATGAGCGCTTAGTGTAAGCAGCAGAATCTCTGCCTCCACCCTTCCCAGAACCTAACAAAAACTCTTAAGAATGTGCCCAGTCACAGGATGGTGTGTACACACAGTCACACCACAGGGAGAGTCTGTGCTGCACAGCCCAGAGACAAGCTTTGGGAAAAGCTGGTTCAACCTTCTTTTCCCAGGTGTTTATCACCCATAAACCTCGGGGCTCTACTCATACCAGTGCAGTGCAATCAGGTCCAGAGTCTTCTGAATCAGAAACATCAGAATATTCTGATGTTCTATTCCTGAGTTCTGATTTCACACTTGTAAAAATTCCTGAAAAAGAATTCATAAAGAGAAAGGACAAGAAACAGTCATTCAAACTTTGGGGCAAGTTGAAAAAAGTGATCTCTATTAACAATTTCAAGATGTCTTTCCATCTCCCCACAATATCTCTCCTTTCTCACTGTTTTTATTTCCCAATCTTTCTCTCTCTAATTGACCAAGATACACACTGACTGACGTATGTCCTTAAAACATTTGTGGTATTTCTTTCTTTCCAGAAAAAAAAAAACAAAAAACAACAAACAAACAACGTTTAAAACTAAAATGAACTACAAGCTGCTTCTGACTTTCCCTGCACCTTCTCACTAGAGAACAAAAAGGCAGCTCTCAAAGCTCACTGCATTCACGGACTCTGGGTTCCAGCAGTTTATAATCCGGGCTCTTAGCACTGCCTTTCTCTTCCACAAGCACCGCTGCATAGCAACTGTCCCATCAGTTCTCAGTGATACACTCACTGCCTTGCTCTGACATGTGAACAAAGGCAGAGTTACCAACCACAGAGGACCAGACTTACTGGGAAACACTGGAAACAGATATTCAAAATGAATCCAATAATATTCATTATGCAGAACACTTACTCATCAAAAAATACTGATTTTAATTACTTTTTAGATGGAAAGGTATATGCTGTTCTTGAAAGCTGTTTAGGAATTAAGATTTATTCAAAGAAGAAAGACTAAAGAGAAGGTGGTATTACTACAATGTCTGACATTCCTATCATTACTTTACTTGGTGATAATCAATTAACACACCAGTAGAAGCTTCCTAGTCAATCAAATAGCACCACACTACTTGGATTTCCACTAGCTGCAGATCAGCCAACCAGATGTCTCTTAATTATGAGAACCAAAGACATATTAGCAAAAGCCACATGTGAAATGAAATTAAACTTGAAACTCATTTTGGGGAGTAGAGGCCATAAAGCATATGAACTTTTAAAAGACTTTAAAAACCCCTTCACTGGTAATCTGTCCCTGGCTACCACACCTTATTTGGCATTCACATTCAGAACTTTCCTAATCGATGAACTACTCAAAAATACTTTGGATTTTCCAACAGTATTATAAACTACAACAATTCAAACACCAGCAAGTTCCCCGCTGCCACATTAGTGAAAGAACAAGAAGCATACTGTTCAGTGGTTTTGGAGAGCCTTCACTTGCTGCCCCCTCCCTTCCTGAGCTCTCTTCTGTCTTGATGTCTGCCTTCTTTGTTGGTTTCTGGTCCTCTTCAGTCTCACTGTCTGCTGTATAAAGACTCCGATCTGCAAACAGCGGTCTCTCATCTCTGTGCCATGGAGGGAAAACGGCATCAGAAGTCGTGCAAGGCCCTGTGTTCCCGTCCCCTCCATTCAGACACAGCAGAGAACTGAGACCCTTCCCCTAATACGATTGGTCGTGCAAGGCCCTGTGTTCCCGTCCCCTCCATTCAGACACAGCAGAGAACTGAGACCCTTCCCCTAATACGTTTGGCTGTGCAATGATGTAGACAAGGGATTACATGAACAAAAGGATCCACTAAAAATTAATCTGACAGCCTGATCTACTTTACGTACTTAATTATTCTTCCATTTGTCAGCAGTAATCGTAGATCATTATCTTTTGCTCTCCATTCAGGTACCGTGGAGGATGGCTGGAGATGTTTGTTGAATTTTCCATTCAGTTTAGAGCTCAGTATGTCCTTAAAAGTACAAAGCAGAACTGACTTATTCTCCAGATAGGCCTGTTCAACTGAAAAAAGACTGCATACTACCCCTCCTCCCATGGTCCTGCCTTGTAGGGGGATGGGCAGCCATCTACGCTTACAGATATCTCAGTGTCCCACAATCCAGAGCTCCTCATTCCAACACATACAGGATTGCTCATCTTTCAGCAGGGCCATTAGCAATAAAATAATTTTCTAATATAAAATGCAAAATCTGCATAAAGCAAATCCAAACACAGCCCTTTCTTGCAGATGCTAAAGGGCTGGAGTCAAATGGCCTTAGGCAGTCTCATGTTCCTTGGCTGTTTTTTCTTGATGAAGTACAGCTGTGGGGCCTTCCCATTCACCCTAACTCTGACCTCATTCCTTCCCACCAAGACTGTCCGCTTCCACACTGTTACCACTAGGCATAAGAGCCACCACTTTATTATTAAAAGAGGTAATAGGGCCGGGCGGTGGTGGCGCACGCCTTTAATCCCAGCACTCGGGAGGCAGAGGTAGGTGGATCTCTGTGAGTTCGAGGCCAGCCTGGGCTACCAAGTGAGTTCCAGGAAAGGCACAAAGCTACACAGAGAAACCCTGTCTCGAAAAACCAAAAAAAAAAAAAAAAAAAAGAGAGAGAGATAATAGGGGCTGAGTTTTTTTTAAAACATATAAAAGATCCTCTTTGAGATCGTCTTCCTCTTAATAAATAGAAATTTTCATAATAAGCTTCCCAAAATAACTATGGGTTAAGTAGGTTTAGAACCATTTAATCTTAAAACAGCGTAATGATACCAAATATAAAACTTACACATAAGTTTGTAATGACTGTAACTTCTTTTAGTATTTTAAGTCAGCAATACATCTATCTTAACTTTCAACTATCTGTCAATCCTCTACTTGAGATGTAAAATTATGAATTATCACAAACTCAGTAGCATGGTTTATAAGGTGCCACCACTCCACACTCTCCTGCCTCTGTCCAGTACACCAGAACTTCTCCAACTTAAATAGATTTATTCTACCCAGTCTCCCATTCTGATAGCTGGACTGGTTCTGTTGACTCAAGGACAGGTTTTCTGTATTTGTACAATTTCTTGTATTGGCTGGCTATACTAATTCAAAGCTATGTTTTCATTTGACTTCTTTTGTTAGCTAAGTCTAAGTTCAAACAGCACCACCTGAAAGGCATTAAGAGCACTTCAGCAAAGCAGCCAGCCTCTACTTCCTTGCTGCCTACTGTTCTGGGCCCCTCAAAACACTCAGCATTGGAAACATATTTTGTTGCTGAAGTTTGTTTGAGAAAGGGTTTCATTGTGTAGCCCAGGCTGGCCTTAACTTGCAATAATCCTCTTGCCTCAGACTCCCAAATGCTAGGATTACAGGCATGTACCATCATGCCTAGTTTAAAATTGTATTATTTTAATCTATATCTTTATCTTCCAACTTAAATTTTGATAAAACCTACATGAAGGTAGGGACTCAAGTTTGCTTGCTCTGGCATCTTCTTCACAGCCCAGAAGAATGTATGATATTTGGATAAATGCTTTTTTATTTGTTTTATTTACTAATAAATATGTCAGCAAATGAATGAAATCTAGGTACCTGAACACCACACTTTTGACTAGAAAAACTAGACTTCATGATCTCCCACAGACAAAAATACTAGTCTCTATAAACCTGCAGTAGAAACTAGTCAGATGGCTACATGTACTATCTAGCGCTTTTTTGATCCTCATATATACTTGCCTCCTCCCATGGACACATCTCTAATCTTTTGAGGACTTCCCTTGTATGGAGCTCAAGGATGTCTAGGTTAGAAGGAGTTCGGACATGATGATCTCGAAGTTTCCTCATCTTTCGCCGGGAATGATATGGTGAAGATGCTTCATTTGAAGGTCGTGAAACTGGACACACAGTAGAAATTCCCTGAGATTTAACTGGTTTGCCATTTTCTTCCTATAAGAATCAAATTCAGAGTATGTTTTATGGCAAGGCTCCTTATACATATACCTACCCAACTAAACAATTAAGCATAAAAATACTCTAAAAAACATAAACATCCTATTTAATCATCTAAGACGAAAATCAAATCCTCAGCTTTCCTGAGATCTCTATTCTCTTTTCCTCCACATACTTTGTGAACAATGCATTTCCTTGTTTTCTTTGGGAAGATTTTGGGGGGTGGGGTGGGGCTGGGAGTGGCTCTGCTTCCCAAGTGCTAGGATCACAAGCATGCACCACCATACCAAACTTCCATCTTAAATTTGTAATGTTAAACTGAGTTGACATTTTCAGAAATGATACTCCTGTTACTAAACTATCAATATTGAGTTTATTCTGTTTTGGTTTTACTGTGCATGAGACACACATGTGCACATATATATCACATGTAGTATGTTATATATTTTATATATATTTGATAAGACTTTTGATAGAAACCCATTTACATGCCATTACTATCACTCTAATAATTTTTGATACATCTGAAAAGACTTGAAATATTCTATCCATGGACTGTAAACCTAGCATAGTAATCTTTCTTGGAGGTTTGAAGATTTAGCTCAGTGGTAGAGAGCACTTGCCTAACAAGCACAGGGTCCTGGGTTCAGCACCAAGAACAAAAAGACATGATTAATTTTCTTAGATGTATACTGCTTTCCATTCTTGACATCATGTTGTGACCCTAGCCTGTTACTGCTGAACCATGTTTCCAGCTCTGCTTCCCATTCTACAAACACAGTCCCAATGTAAGATTAGGACTTATGTAAATTACTAGGTGTAAATGTAAATTATCTAATGTAATTACCAGGGGGGCCTCCATTCCTCCAGAGAATTTCCTCTTATTTTAAACTACACACTAAGCAAGTTACTTTCCTGAAGAACTACTTTAATGAAAACCCCCTTTTGTCAATACCAACATCAGCTCTTTAATAAATTAAAACACTTTACCTCATCTATGGGTTTTTATCAAAGGCATTGACTTCTCAAGTTGCTCCAGTATTTTTGGCCAAGGGATTCCCTAATACTCTTTCCAACACAGTTTCACTCACCTTACTATTTTATCCCTTCCTCTAATTACTTCACATACATTCATCTCTAGGTAATTAAAACTAAATAGGTCTAAACATCATAGTGTGACTTCTGCTCGAACTTTTGGAGGAACTTAAAGAATTTACAGTAACTGGAACTGCCTCTTTGTTGTTTTATTACAATGCAATACTCTATATTTCTCTGTAAGACATTAGAAGCCGGGTTGGGGATTTAACTCAGTGGTAGAGCGCTTGCCTAGCAAGCACAAGGCCCTGGGTTCGGTCCTCAGCTCCAAAAAAAAAAAGACATAAGACATTAGAAGCCTAAAAGCTGTAAAGCTAACTCAGCCCATTCTATTCCTTCACATATGTAAGTGCTTTCAATATTTACAGCATGGTGGCAGATCCATTTGCTTCTCAAGGCGACAGCAAGCAAACACATAACTTCTATTCTTACCTCTATTGCTCGAATTACTTTAGAAAGTTCCTTAATAAGATGTCCAGGTCTAACATTGTCTGGAATTTCAAAGGCATGTTCAGATACAAGCTGTATTTGGAGTAATAAAGATAAGAAAATGAAAGTCACTTAAATATTTAAACCCAATTTACTTTATAAGGTTCTCTATATTTTAAAGACACTGCTGATAATGTTAAGCCATTCTCAAGAGTTTATGTACTTGGTGTAATGTCACCTAAGGGGATCCACATTATCAAATAAAATCCTCTTATTTTAAAGTCTAAAATGGATTTGTCTCACAGTGAATCTTATTTATAATGCATTCGAAACCTCAAATCCCACTGTGATTCTAAATACAACTACTAAGAAATTAAGCCTAACATTTAATTCAAAATATATAAGGATCTTTACAGGGAACACTGGTACTAAGTAATCCTTGTTTTTCATGGAAAGTATAATTTGAATAAATTTGAGTTAAAAGTTTAATAATCAAAAGCAAATGAGAAAGACACCTTTAACAGGAACAAGAAATGAATTAGTAAGTGAGCATATTTACTAACTACAAACTAATACCATTATTTTTATGTCTATTTACAAATACTACTTCTCTGTATCTAAGAACATTCAATTTTTAGACACATACTAGTTTCTATTTTTGCTTTATAGTCGACTTGTTTTTAGTATATAACTTGCTGGAACAAATTAGTTAGCAACAATAACATGGAATAGTGCTAACTCTGTGTTCTGATACTGTTAAGTACACTTGGTAAGCATGAACTCATTTAATCCCTCAATATCAGGATGACACATACTTCCGGCAGGAGATTCCTCACTTGACATACTTGGGACTAGAGATGTTTCAGAGTTCAGATTGGGGGTGCTCACCTTTTCCAGGTTCTGATGATCATTGCCATATTACAACTGAGAGAACTGAGACACTGACATTAGGAAGTATGTCCAGAATGACACAGCTTACTAGCAGAGATGAGATCTGAGTCTAAATATCTGATTCCAGAATCCAAAGTTTCAACCAGTATACTGAACTGCCTCCTGTCTTTGAACAAATTTACTAAAAATGTAGACATGTTTGGAAATACACTTTATTTCCAATGTCTAATCATACTTGTGATAAAAGTTTACTATGCACAGAAATCATGTAGGATGCTTTTAGGATTAATTCTACTCCAGAGCTATTAAAACCATAATTCTGAGTAAGATGCAGGGACTATTTTTTTTTTAGAAGTTCTCAAGGCAACACTAACACACAATTGAGAAGCACCCATCCAAAGCCTCTACCAGAGACAGAGGTACACAATTTCCACAGCTTATGCTTCATCACGTTACACAGCTGTTAACTTACTTGGGCTTTTCCTCCTCATACACATGATAAAATCTAACAGTGGAAGGCATGTCTTTACTGGGTGTTTCTATAGCACCTTGCCCTAATAGATTTGTACCACTAATCCTAAAGTAAAATGGAACATAAAATTGCCTGGACCATAGCCTAGTACTTGTATCCCAGTATCTCCTTTTAAAAATTTATGATTATGATGATGATGATGAGAGAGAGAGAAGGGGTGTGTATGTGTGTGTGTGTGTGTGTGTGTGTGTGTGTGTGTGTGTGAGAGAGAGAGAGAGAGAGAGAGAGAGAGAGAGAGAGAGAGAGAGAGAGAGAAAGGGATGTGTGTATACACCAAAGCACATGAGTGGAGAGAGAGAGAGAGAGAGAGAGAGAGAGAGAGAGAGAGAGAGAGAGAGAGAGAGAGAGAGAAAGGGATGTGTGTATACACCAAAGCACATGAGTGGAGGTCAAAGAACAACTTTGTGGCATTTCCTTCCACCTCTACACTGGTCCCCAGGATTGAACTGTTCTCAGGCTTACACAGCAGGTGCTTCATAGACACTGAATTTCTCACTGGCTCTCGTTTTCCCTTAATAGCAAGAATTTTATTTTAAATGGATATCAGGGATCTGGAAATCATTAGCACACATATACATCATTCATATTATTTACTCTTACATGTGAAGCTCCATGGGGTTGAGTAAGAGTTCAAACAGTTAGTGAAGGAAACATGCATACATCACACACATTAGTTTTAGGTCTAAGTGCATAAGAATATGCTGCAGAAGCATAAGGGAAGTAAGAGGAAACACTAACTCCAAAAGGAGATGTGGATGAACTCTCAGAAAAAGCCTGGGACAACTGCAACAATTGAACCACAAGTTAAGAGTCTTGTCCCTTCCTTCCCGTCCATTTTTTATAAACCTACCACGGTGGTAAAAAGCAGGGACTTGCAATCTTAAGAGTCCAACTTTTTATCCTAGCCGTGATGGTTCTCTTGGGAAAGTTACTTAAATGGGAACACCAGCAGCACTCAGGCCCCACATAGTCACTCTGAAGACTAAACGAGGTCACACAGGTAAAGACAAAGCACAGTGCTTGACATGCTAAGAGCTCAACATGGCTTGTTACTCTGTATCAGCATGTTTGTTTCCTAGTCAGTGTCTTAAATATACTTGCATTTTGTTTTTTCAAGAACAAAAGCCAAAGTTCTTTATTCTCTAATCAGAATTAGTACATCTGTATATAGTATGTCATAGAGTACAAACAGTATATAAAATACAATTTCCATTCCTTTTACAACTGGCACACGAATGCTGCCCACACAACAAAAGTACTGTTTTCATGATCTTACCTCCTCTCCCCCCCCCCCACACACACAAAAAAAAAACAAAATCAGCAAAAACAACTTACTTCTTTTTTCATCCATACTTTTAAAGCAGTATGGAGTGCTTTCACTCCCTGTACTAAGTAAGTTTGAGGCTGGAACCCATCTTCTTTCAGTTCTGTTGGGATGAAGTAAGGGAGAGAAGGAAATTAAAAGTTTACAAAAGGATATCTCGAGTATCAAGTATTAAACTTAACACCCAAAACAGCACAGGAAATAATTCAAAAGGCAAGAAAGAAAAATAAGCAGAACTACATTAAATGTAATGATACAGATAGCTCAGTGGAAGCACTGACTGCGCTTCCAGAGGTCCTAAGTTCAACTCCCAGCAACCACGTGGTGGCTCACAACCATCTGCAATGAGATCTGGTGCCCTCTTCTGGCGTGCAAACATACATGCAGACAGAACACTATACACATAATAAATAAACCTTTTTTTAAAAAAAAAAGTAATGATAGCAAATGCTTATATTAAGCATATAAAAATACAGGAAAGTTTAAAACAGTGGGAAAAAGATGTCAAGTTTTGAAAATAAAGTTCAGATAGCTGTAGTAATATACTATTATTAATGAAGCATCATTTCAACACGTTCAAAATTTCAATTCACTAGAAAAAACATTTAAAATTTGCACACTAACAATCGTGAAATATAAAAAGCAAGACAAAACACAAAATACAATCAGCAATTGCACAATCACAGTGGGATATTTCTAGGAAAACCAGTAAACACAGACTGGACTGGAAAAACAGATAATTCAACTCAAGCTGTATAAAATTTGGTTCAACAGTCAAATAGGATACTGCACCTGGGAATTGCAAAATGCACATTTTTTTCAGACATACTCAGCACATCATCTGCATTACAGGACCATAAAGAGGCCTCAACAAATACACAATGATCTGAATCACTTATATGTTCAAAATGCAATTAAGCTAGAAATCAACAACATAGATAACAGTAACAGATAACAAATGTTTAGAAATTTAAAATTATAGATGTTAAGAAACATACAAACTAAAAGATTTTTTTAAAACCACTGGGACCAGAGAGATAGCCTAGCAGTTAAGAGCACTTGCTACTTTTACAGGACTGGGTTTCAGTTCCCAGCACCACATCAGACTGCTCAGAACTACCTCTAACTCCAGGGCCAAGGAATCTGATGCCCTCTTCTGGCCTCTGAGGACACTCGCATGCATGTACACACATTCAGACACACAGACACACATGCAGTGGCAGACTCACAACCCTCCCATACCAAAATAAATAGATAAAATATAATTTTAAAGGCCACATGATAATATCAGTTTGAAATTATATGAATTTTTTTAAAGATTTGTTTATTTATTATGTATACAGTGTTCTGCCTGCACGTATCCCTGAAGGCCAGAAGAGGGCACCAGATCTCATTACAGATGGTTGTGAGCCGCCATGTGGTTGCTGGGAATTGAACTCAGGACCTTTGGAAGAACAGCCAGTGCTCTTAACCTCTGAGCCATCTCTCCAGCCCCGAAATTATATGTAATTTACAAACAGAAAATATTATTTCCATTTAAAACATGGGTGGTGAAACTGAAAAAACAAGGATCATTGCAAAAGTCAAGACAGTAGTTAACTATAGAAGAGGAGGAAGATGTAATTTAATTATACGGTAGGGATGGTACCAAGATTTTTCTTGGATGAATGCCTATGATAGTGGCCAACATATATACATGTGTGTACCTAGTTTAAAGAAGACTATTACTCAGGTAATTGCTATTCAAACAAAAACAACTTAATTAATGCTTTGAAAAATGCTGGTGTAGCCAGATGGTGGTGGCACATGCCTTTAATCCCAGCACTCAGGAGGCAGAGGCAAGCATCGATCCCTATGAATTTGAGGACAGCCTTGTCTACAGAGTGAGTTCCAGGACAGCCACAGTGGCATAGAGAAACGGTCTCAAACAAAACAAACAGAAAAGTCTGTTTCAGGGCTGGGATTGTAGCTTAGTGGTAGAACACTTGCCTAGTATGCACAAGGCCCTGGGTTTGACCCTACCAACACATTGCTATTAATAGGCTGAACCATAATGGAGTTGTCAGTATTTGACCATTTTGAAATATGAAAATAGCAATTTTACATGAACCCACCATGGGAATAATAATATATAACAGTATGCTATTTTTTAAACAGCACTAAAATGAAAAGTACCTAGGAATAAATCTATCAAGATCTGTAAGTGCAAGGTTTTACAAAACTTCAAAAGATATTACAGAAGATGGAGACAAATGCTCCATGATCATTCTTTAGAAAACCCAGTGATGGGCCAGGTGTGGCGACACATGCTTTTAATCCTAGCACTGAGAAGGCAGAGGCAAGCCAATCTCTATGAGTTCAAGCCAGCCTAGTCTACATAGTGAGTTCCAGGCAGCCAAGGCTACATACTCACTCTATCTAAAAAATAAGAAAAAGGGGGGGGGGGGGGGGGGGGGGGGGGGGCGCCTCAATAACGAATGTCTAGACCTCAGTATTTCTGAATTTTTATGTGATATGACAAAATACTAGTTATTTCTGAGACTAAATCAGTGCCATAATTTAATGAGTAACAAATTTCATCTTTCAGATAAATTTCTATTTTATTCTAAAAGGTTAGTGGGCTTCTGAGTGGCAAAGATTTGTGGGGATGTGGGCAGACAGAATAAATATGAATTAGTAGAGCTTCATCTAGCTAACCAGATGATATGAACTTGATGTCCCTGAGTCAGAGTAAGAGAAAAGAGGCAAGAAAAAGTACTACCAACCAAGTGTAAAACTTCCGGTCTCTTAACAAGAGAATTCAGGAATCAGACTGTGTTTCCAAAACAAAGACATTTATAGATATTTTTAACAAGTGTGTGATACAACTTCCCGCTGTTTTAGACTTGAACTTGGAAACTATGTTCAAGGGAAAAAATCAACAACAACAAAACCTGGTCACTGAGAAATGGGTGCAACTCTGTAATCCACTTCCATCCCTTCAGCAAGAACAATACTTGACGGAGTCATGGATTCACACTAAGGACTCATTTCTAGAGCACAGGGTGTTCCTGTATGGTCTTCCTCATCTGGGGAACCTTAACCCATCACACACATACTTCTCAAACTGTCACAGCCTCTCTCCTGACACTGCACTGCAAGGACTCATTGTTCTCACCTTTCATTCAAAATAAGGTGGTGTCTTTATAAATGTTTTTTGTTTTGTTTTCTATCATTTTGTATGTGTGGGAGCTCAGAGGACAAATGTAGAATTGGTTCTTTCCTTTCACTCCTATGTGGTTCCAAGGTTCAAACTCAGGTGGTCAAACTTATAGCAAGCACCGTAACACTGAGCCATCTTTGCTGGGCCCCTTTTTTTCTTTGGAGGGAAATGACCCCAGAGTTTTACTGTCTGTCTGTCTGTCTGTGTGTGTGTGTACATACACCATACTAAAAATAATCTTTAGGTTGTTACTTTTTTTCATTTCACCTTTTTTTCTTTTTTTTTTTTTTTTTTTTTTTTTTTTTTTTTTTTTTTTTTTTTTGGTTTTTCAAGACAGGGTTTCTCTGTGTAGCTTTGCGCCTTTCCTGGAACTCACTTGGTAGTCCAGGCTGGCCTCGAACTCACAGAGATCCGCCTGGCTCTGCCTCCCGAGTGCTGGGATTAAAGGCGTGCGCCACCACCGCCCGGCTCACCTTTTTTTCTTATAAACTATTAAATGGATAAAGAAATAAATGTCTAGACTCTAGACCACTGTGTACCTCTACATCTGTTTTCCTGAGAGCTAACTGTAACAGTATCATCATCTGGGACTAGACATGGCAAAGCAGTTTAACAGCACTTGTTGTTGTTGCAGAGGACCCAGGTTCAGTTCCCATTACTCACATAGTGGCTGTGGTGGTTTGAATGAAAAGTGGCTCCCATAGGTTCATAGGGAGTGGCACTATTAGGAGGTGTGGCTTGCTGGAGTGGGTGTGGCCTTGCTGGAGTGGGTGTGGCTTTGTGGAAGGAAGTGTGCCACTGGGGGTGGGCTTTGAAATTTCAGAAGATTAAGCCAGGCTCAGTGTCTCTCTCTCTCTTCCTGCTGCCTGCAGATCCAGAACTCTCAGCTACGTTTCCAGCACCATGTCTACCTACATGCTGTCATGCTTCCCACCATGACAATAATGGACTAAATTTCTGAAATGTAAGCCAGCCCTAATTAAATGTTTTCCTCATAAGAGTTGCTCTGGTCATGATGTCTCTTCACAGCAATAGAAACCCTAACTAGCCAGGCAGTGGTGGCGCACGCCTTTAATCCCAGCACTCGGGAGGCAGAGGCAGGCGGATCTTTGTGAGTTCGAGGCCAGCCTGGTCTACAGAGAGAGATCCAGGAAAGGCACAAAGCTACACAGAGAAACCCTGTCTCAAAAAACCAAAAAAAGAAAAAAGAAAAAAGAAAAGAAACCCTAACTAAAAGAGTGGCCCATAACCACCTGTAACTCCAGTTGTGAGCAATCTCATGCCCCCTTCTTGTACCAGTTGCACATGGTACACAAACACATACAGACAAACATTCACACACATAAAATTAAAAAAATAAATATTTAAAGAGTATCACCATTTGCAAACTAATTAGAAAAACAAAAAAAATATATTCTCACTAGCACAGAGAATGAAAAGCAGAAAATGGATGAAGTTCCATTCAGTCGACAACTTGACTGCTCAAACATTAAGTCAAAATACAAAAATATCAAAATCTGAAATTGTACCATGTAAAAAAAATCTTCAAGTCTAACTATAAATGGATTCCTTTTTTTCTTTTTCTTTTTTTGTTTTTTGTTTTGTTTTTTTGAGACAGGGTTTCTCTGTGTAGCTTTGTGCCTTTCCTGGAACTCACTCTGTAGTCCAGGCTGGCCTCGAACTCACAGAGATCCACCAGGCTCTGCCTCCCAAGTGCAGGGATTAAAGGCATGAGCCACCACATCCCAGCTATAAATGGATTCTTTAAAACCATTTGTGTGTGTGTGTGTGTGTGTGTGTGTGTGTGTGTGTGTGTGTGTGTATGTGTGTGTTAGTGGGAATTGAGCCAAGGGCCTCACTCCTGCTTATCAACGGGCTATAGTATCTCCAGCCCTCTTACTTTGAGACAAGATCTCACCAAGTTTCCCAGGCTGTTCTCGAACTTGTAATCCTGTCATAGCCACTCAAATAGCTGAGTAAAATTATAGGTCTGTGCCATTAGGCCCAGCTAAAAATGTTTTTCTTCAGTTGGGTTTATATGCTAACATGTGAATTAAACTGGCTAGCTTAATGGTCATAATGTTGACTGATGGCACAAACATTTAATGATTCAGAACACATAAATCATTCCCCTATTTTCTTTTTCTTTTTTTAAAGTTTATTGAGATAGAGGTCTTACTACATAACCCCAGCGGGCCTAGGACTCATTATGTACACCACGTTGACCTCAAGTCAGAGAGATCTGCCTACCTCTGCCACCTGAGTACTGGGGTTAAAGGCATGCGCCACTATGCCTATCCCCAACTCCTCTAATTTTTTAAGCAAATATTTCAGAACAAGTGTTATGTAACAGTCTGTCTAGTGATACAAGCTACATTTTTGAGAGCAAGGCACTAAAATGTGTGCAGGCCACTCACTCACTGAATGAAATGGCTATGTTCCAATAATATGGATATAGGTGTTTGATGTCTAAGAATATGGAAGGGATAGCTGTAGACTAGATACTCTACCTCAGTGGTTCTCAACCTGTGGGTCATGACCCCTTTGGGGTCGCATATCAGATATTTACATTATGATTCATAACAGTAACAAAATTACAGTTACAAAGTAGCAATGAAATAATTTTATGGTTGGGGTCACCACAACATGAGGCACTGTATTAAAGGGTCGCAGCATTAGGAAGGCTGAGAACGACTGCTCTAACGGCTAAAACGATTCTTACAGGGAAGGGGGAAGAAATACATACTGTTTTAAAAAGGGAAGCCAGACTGGAGAGATGTTAAGGTAAGAGCATGTGTTGTTCATGCAGAGGACCCGCGTTCTCAGCACTGTACTCACATGTGTACCCCCAACCCCCATACATACACATAATTAAAAGTAGAAATAAAATAAAAGTGAGGGTGACATCTAGCAAAGGGTCTGCATGAAGGAATGTGCAAACACACATCTTGCACACAACAGAGTGTACAAACCACTCATTACCTTTCAGGGTTTCCAGCAAACTTTTGGCTACAAACCAGCATATGGCTTCAAAGAAAGGGAATTTGAAAAGATCTGGTGTTTTTAATCTTTTCTCCATCTCATAACACCTAAATGAATAAAATTTAAAGAATAGTATTAATATTAGCATTTCAAAGTTAAATGAAGGTAATCAACTGAAAATAAACAGGCCATGATACAAATTTTTCGACAACACTGAACTGTTATCTTATGCAGGTTCTGACTTTAATAAATTTGCTAATCTACTTAAGAATTACACTGGGTACTGTAAAAGATCATGTCTTAGGCTCTGTATCCTAATTTTAACAAAAGAGGATTCCATGAGGGTTCCACTAATAAAATAGTTTTTAAGATCAGTTCCATGTGTTGGACAACACTGCAAACCCCATCCACGTTCTCTGGAGGCTCTACCAAGCATTCAAGATCAAGACCATATTTGGTATTAGTCAAGGTATAAAGACAGGGACCACAGTTTGCACAATATCGATCTTCTGTCAGAGTCCTAACAACAGCACATGTAGAAGAAGCCATCTCTCTTCCAGAAATAACTGAGGTACGAAAAGATTACAGCTTTTACCTGGTAGACACACGACCTACCACAGCTTAGAGCCTGGTCCTCTGTAAGAGCCACCAGCCCCTTTGCTAATCGCAAAGACAAAGCATCCAGGGCTCCCATGCACATACAGAGTTGCAAGAGTCACCACTTTTGGGAAATCCCAATGATACACAACCTCCCAAGGCATTTCCCCTTTTCTCAGTCCTCATGCAGTGCCCATCAGGAAGCATGCTGGCCATATGGAATTGGCTAACCCTAACCCTTTCTAAGTACAGTGAAGGAACAAAGTTAGCACGAAGGCCAGATCTCATCAAAAGGAGAGTAACTGTCCATCCTTTACCTACAACAAAATTCAAAGGCGTTCTAATAGCAATCCCGACATAAGAATTGTTCCAGCTCTACAGGCTATACACAAATCTGATTAATTTAATTCATTTTCATAACACTAGTTTATAGACTAAGAAAAGCATACACATTTTATAAAATTTTGATGTGGGAGGTATCATCATAATTCATAAGTTATCAATTTTACTTTAGATTTGAAAGGATCCTTCAAATAATGTTTTTAAAATATTTTTGTTAAAAAGTTCCTAATCATTCCTCAAGGCCTATATCTCCACAAGATCTCAAAATATTTTAACTTTTTTGTAAGAAATCAACACAAATGTTCTAATTAATAACAAAAGATCCTTTCAATATTGATGACACAAACCTGAGCTGCATGCCAATGTTGAGGTTGTGCAGAAAGTTACCCCCAAAAGCCATACAGTCCTGAGAAGTGAGCACAGCATGAATCCACCCTGAAACACACAGATCAATGATGCTTCAATTTCTAAACTAAACAGATGCTATTCTACCTGTGAAGTAAATAACTCAAATAACTGACATCACTTTACTTCATATCCCAGCACTAAAGAAGTTGGTGCTTATTACAACTGACTGACTCATCCACTTAAGTAGTTAGTAAAAGCTAGTAATGTGCTAGGCTTTGTGCTGAGCCTGAGGGGAAAGTACAGGTTTGGGGTTGTGACCATCAATACTTTGTTTTTAAAATTAAAACAAACAAACAAACAAACAAAAAAAACACCTTTACAATGGAAGATTTTATTCTGAGGCCAGTCAAATCTGGTTTGAATTAGGAAATAACATTTTCCCTAATGAATATAAGATTGACAGAGCAATCTGCTTCACAAGTGTCATCATGAAGGAATATGCAGGGAAAGATCAGGGAAATCATGTGACACCCTGCTCCAGCAGTAGGAAAGACAGATCACCCACATTTAAATGGGTGGGAAACTGGGCCTATGTACATTAAATGCTGATGATTAAATATTTTATTTCCATTAGGGTGTTTTCAAAATGAGAGACATTTCTAACAGATGATGTCTAACTTTTTAAATGTTAGGAGACTGAACACAAAGACATAAAAATATAAATTCTGCTGGGCATTCATATAGGTAACAAAGTATGTTCAATATAAACCAGGACTAGAAACTAAAATTCCATTATTTAAACAATGTACTTATACATGGTTTTGGCACTGAATACAACTACTCTATACATTAAAGAAAACTATAGCATAGTTTGTTTAGAAAGTTGCTAATCATCTTAGGAAAAAATCCCATTGATTAGAGCAATGACTGTCCCAATGCAGTCCTCAAACTAGCACCATCAGTCAGCAACCTGTTAGAGATGCAAAGTCTTAGGCCCATCCTACATGCACTGAATGAGAGCCCTAAGGAGGAGGCCCAGAAGTCTGTGGTTTACCAAGCCCTCCTGGTGATCCCTATGCTCCCATGAAGCTGGACAGACCCCAAGCTACACCAATGCTGATGAATTTCAGCCATCCCTAGCTCACATGTACTGCTTTACAGACTCATGACTAATGTTGCTGTGAGTACACGCACATAGAAAAACAGCATATCTTCATAAATTAATCTTTTAACTTCTTTCTTACACACTCCAGTAGGCCACTAAATTGACTTCATTACAAGTTATTTAGGTAGGATGTTCAATAATCTATGACTTCAATTTGATTTTAAAAAGGATACAATGTAAAAATTATAATAAATACCACTAGGAGACTTAAATGTAGCCTTTCAAAAGCTAGACATAAATCCTAATACTTTAGATAATGATTAATTAATTTTTTTTTCTTTTTTTTTTTTTTTTTTTTTTTTTACAGGGGAGAGCGCGAACGCAGTCCCCCACTACCACAAATTATGCAGTCGAGTTTCCCGCATTTGGGGAAATCGCAGGGGTCAGCACATCCGGAGTGCAATGGATAAGCCTCGCCCTGGGAAAACCACCTTCGTGATCATGGTATCTCCCCTGCCAGGTAAGTATGATGATTAATTAATTTACTCAAGCGTAATTATTCTATACGAGAGGCAAGGTAGCAAAGCAGAACATGTAGTAATAGTCCTGTAAACTCTATAACCCTGAGGTCACCCAAGCCAAAGGAACACTGTTCTCAAACCCATGGGCCCAGAGAGTAGAGCCTGCATATTCACTCCCACTGCCAACCAACATATCAATACTCCTATCTGCAGTATACAGTATAAAGAAGTTTAGTAGTCCTCAAAGAATTATGCATCATTAAGTAAGGCAACAAAGCAATTTGTTACATACTTCAAAGAAATAAACAAAAATATGCCTTCACATAAAAGTTTGTACAATTGTTCAAAACAGCACTATTCATAAAATCACAAAGTGCTAACAACCCAAATGTCCCATCAACTAATGAATGGGTGAGCAAACTATGGTATATCCTGTAAAGGAATATTGTTAGGCTAAAAAAAGATTAAGCATTCATGTGTGCTATGGCATAGATGAGCCAAGTAAATATTATGGTAAGTAAAAGAAGTTACTCACAGCTGGGGATGATAGCACCTGCCTACAATCTCATCACTCAGTAGAGTCAAGAGAATCAGGAGTTCGAGGTTATTTTCAGCTACACAGTGAGTTACAGGCCAGTCTGAGCTATGAGACCCCGTGTCCAAAACCCAAACAAACAAACAAAAAAAAAAACAAAAACCAACCAAACAAACAAAAAAACCAGAAGAGAAGAGAGAAAAAATAGACAGAGGGAAGAGGCTAGACACAAAAGGAAACATATTAAGTGTCCAAACAGGAAATGCATAGAAAGTATATCAGTAGTTACAGTGGGTCCAGGGAGTGGGGAATGGCAGTATCTGCTAAAAGGTATGGAGTTTCTTCTGGACATAATGGAATGGTTCTCCACTTAGATGGCAGTGATGGTTGTGTGATCATACTAATCTATTAAAAATCATTAAACTGTATCATTTAATAGGATGGTGACCAAGTCCTCTGAGGAACAATCAAGTAAAAAGTTCTTAGTCCTTCTTAGGTAAGGCCATAAAAGCTGTTTTATTTAACAATGTGTTAAAGCCAAAGCTGGTTCTAATTATAAGCTGACTCCAAATGACTCACTATCAACTAACCTAGACCAGCAAGTGGTTCTTCAATGACAGGGTTGGAGGTGGCCAGGAGATGAGAAGGTAAAGGAAACAGAAAAGGTGAGGTCAAGAGATCTTGTACAAGCTGTGTCTTATGCCAAGCAAGCTTATTAAGAAGTACAGCAAGTCAGCAGGAACTACCATACAGTAGAACAAAGTCAGTGGAAAGGTAATCAAACAATGTTGCATTAGGAGAACACAGGGTTATCTCAAGAGCTTTATAGACAAAACACACAGCAGCCTTGGGACTGATAACCACAGCCTTGTAAGGTGTCAAGAGTTGGGTTCTCAAGATCTGAAGCAATTCCCCCAAGGTCCCAGCCCCAGGCCATTACTGGCTCTGTCAAGCATGTTCCTGGTTTTATTGAAGAAACTTTCTTCTCCATACATCAGGGCTTCAGGGAAAAGCTCCTAAGGCCCTAACCCCAGGCTATTACTGGCTCTGTCAAGCATGTTTCTGGTTTCAGACAAGGAACTGTGTTCATTTTCCATGCACCAGGACCTCAGGGAAAGCCTCGGATCAGCCCAGCCCTCAACAATCAACCACGGAAGTAGGGGATGAAATTAAAACCTTACCTGTAGGAACAAATAAGGTATGTCCCTGCTTTACCACACATTTGTAGCATTTATCTACTTTATCTCCAAAGAACACCTCACTCTGGGTCACAGATGAACTCCAAGATTCATAGAGTGCCAAATTTTCATTTGTTGGCTTTATCAAATAAAAAATCTTCTCACCCTAGAAGGAAGTAATCATACTACTTTGAAAAAGAAAAGCCATTCACAGGATGGCTTACACTAGTACAATTTCCCAATAAAAGGATCTAAATTAAACTTAAGATATTGTTTAGGTTCAAAAAATGTCACATATCTGATCAGCAGCGAATTCTCTAATCAGCAAGTTCACAGGAACTAAAACTCCTCCCACCTCCAACTGACAGTCAATAATCCTATCAAAGAAAGCACCACAAGGGAGGAAGATAAAGAACCACAAACAGAAGTCAATTATGTTACAGCCTCCGGGTCGCAGCACAATCATCTCTCATACTTCATCTTCAGAACCATAAAGATCCTATAGGTAACTTACAGGTAGATTCTTATATATTTAAAAACCTGTGAATAAACTTCCTTTAGTGAACTCTTGGCATCCTCAGAGAAAAAGACCAGATCTCAAGGACACAGCATCAGTTCTAGTCCAGAGTACTGCATAGGCACAGGAATCTGAATCAGATCTGGTTCTGGGCCAGGTACCATGTAATTCAACAGTGATGGAAAGTTTTTTTATTTTTTAATTGTGTTATCTCTCCAGTCTAGAAGTCATTAGCTATAGGTAATATTGCTAGTGTGAATGAACAACTCAATTTTTAATTATACTAAATTTTAATTATTTAAATCTAGCCACAAAGGCTAATGTTTATTAGGCAATGCAGTTCTAGATAAAGCAGAACAAATAAACACTAAAAGAATTAGTAATTGTATAGATGTTTGTGATTTATAAAACTTGTTTTCTCATTCTCATCTTAAGGCCAGAAGCAATCATCACCATCATTTTGCTTCTTCTTAGTCATTTGTTCAGAGATTAATGCAAACTGACTAAGGAGAAGAGAAAAAAAGAGACAAAGGCTAACAGAAATCAACTTAAAATATAGAAGTGAAAAAGGAGGCTAAATAACTCATGACTTTTCTATGACTTGAAATGTAAAAAAAAAAAAAGAAAAAAGAAAGCACCACGGCATAAAATGTTTAAGAAGCAGAAAAATATTTAAATGTTTACAAATGTTACATAGAACAAATGAATGTCCTAACAGAAAAATAAGGCATGTTTTTATTAATAAGGAAGTAAGAAATACCCTATTCTTACCCAAAGAACATGGTACCAGACAGAAGTCCCACCAAAGTCAATGTGGAAATCTGTATAGCTATCTTGAACTCCCATTAAGCAGTATTTCTGGACAAAGGGCTTAGGGAAGACTGAGTCATCTGGCCAGTAATTTTCCACCCAGGAAAGTTTTCTGGCTATGTCAGGGACCTCCACCAATTCAGACATCCTTAAAAAAGAAAAAAACCAAAACATATATACATACCAATCTAATACAAATTAAAGACTTTTTTTTGTCCTGGAACTCACTCTGTAGCCCAGGCTGGCTTCAAACTCACAGAGATCCATCTGCCTCTGCCTCCCGAGTGCTGGGATTAAAGGCATGCGCCGCCGCCGCCACCACCACCCAGCTAAAGACTTCTTAAAACTATTCCTCCCATATCAACCCAAACCAAGCAATTAAAAGGAACTCAAGATTAACAATACTTAAGCATTTAAAATACATTTTATGTCTCTTTTTTTTTTTTTTTAAGACATGGTCTCACTGTGTGGCCTTGGCTGTCCTGCAATCAGGCTGGCCTTGAACTCACAGAGATCCTCCTGCCTCTGCTTCCTGAGTGCTGGGATTAAAGTTGTGCATCACTATGCCAGCTACATCTTGTTTCTAAATATTCTATGAGCCTGGCAAAGCAAAATTTAGATCACTGCTTCCAATGGATAGCTACCAAAGTCATAATTATGCTCATTAAAATAAAATTATCATTAAACTACACTTAGCTAAAATTGAGAATGCTAAGCAAACTGTCCAGAGATACTCACTTTGTATCTGAAAATTCAAGGCTGATCACATTTAAGACTTTTGGTCTGTTAGGATTCATGAAGTATTGAACGTAATTGTGAAGTGTCATTTTGCTGTCTGCCTGCCTTGCCACATCGATGACATCTATCACTTTGTCACCACCTGCAGAGAAAAAAGTAGTCTATTATTGACCTTAAAAGCTGCATAGACACTCTGAACAAAAATACTAAAATCCATATTTGCTTATTATGATAACTAAGCCAACTATAAAACTGCATAGAATTAACATCGATTGTAAAAACATATAATTTAGTAAGCCATCTATGTGTCACTCATTTCTTGTGGGTAGCTCATAACAACAACAAAAAAAAACAATAAGCTGGGATATGAAAACTGTCCACTGTTTCCTGGGTTTCAATTTCCTCATGCATAAAAGAGGAGATTGGCTTTTGCCTTTAATTTCTATAATGCTTAAGAGTCTAACTCTGTTGCTTTAAAAAGGAGGGCACTGGGGAATTAGCAAACATGTCATCAGGACACATGACTTTGCTCCACTGGTCATGTCTTCGAATGTTCTCCTTGCAGAGCAGTGGTTATCCAGCTAAAGTCAATTCATACAGTGCAGCCTGAATGCTCAGATTCTGAGTTGTGATTACCTTACAGTTTTCCCTATACAACCACAAGGTACTGCTTGCAGACTTCTGCAGCACCACCTAGGAAGCAAAACCCCTTTTACAATGGATCACAGTATGAGTTGCGATTCAAAATATGGCAACAGTTAATCAATCTGAAATAGAAAATGGAAGTGTTCCACTCTTGTAAGTCAATGTAATGTCATATACACTAAAAATAATTGCCTCAGATTTCCTTATTTTCACATAAAACATAATAGTTCTACTACTGTTATTTTAACTGAAGAGCTTTGCAGCACTAAAAGTTAGTGGATAAAGCAGTTCGAACAACTTCTATAATTAAGTTACACTAACCATTTACTTTACAGGCAATTAGGTTTAAGTTAAAGCTAAGTCTTATCCCCTAGTTTATCATATATTTAAATTTACACGAATGTTTTAAGTCAGGGCATTTAACTGGATTTTTCTAAATGAAACAGTTATCAATGAAAATAAAGGGACAAGTTCTTCAATATGACATGCCAAGGAAATAATGTATAGTAGTGGACACATAATTCTGAGACAATGTAGATTTGGGTTCTGATTCTCAAATAACACCTGCCCTTTGTTAGCAAATGGCATGTACAGATTGCCAGCTTTATCTATAAACTTTATAATGAGAATAAATAAAAGGAATGAAAATGCCAAGAATCTGGCAACTGGTAATTTTTGCCTTGTTTCTTACTTTCTTGGGTCTCAAAATCAGAAGTCAGTTCAGGCATCATTAAATGGTGATTACTGACCAAGTCATTAACCTAAGTACATGTTTGAACTGAATCTTCTCTTTTTACAGCCCTTCCTAAGAGACAGGAGGTCAAGAAGCAGGATCCAAAAGACTAGGCTCAGAATTGATACCCTCATTCTGCAGATGTTAGAGCCTATTCAGTTTCTCACGTCTTCCTGGAATCTGGCTGCCCTTCAGCAATGACTTTCTCTACACAAATATCGAATTTAACAACTAAGAGAGTAGTAGGATAGGCTGATATAATAAGAACAGATAAAATGTTTCACTCTTTTCTGACCATTGTAGGTCTATGGAGTTGCACTCAACAGAAGCACTACTGAATTTCACTTTTCCTGACCCGTATGAAGCATCCGGCACAAAGAGCTGATATTTTTCCATTCCATATCAATACTCTTAGGACACTATCATTTATAGTTTTACCATGTTTTTGCAAGTACTTAAAGGAACCAATTTCGTACCTACATAACGTTCCACATCCATCACTGAAAAAGCAGGTGAAGGGAGCCTGAGTCCAAGGTCATCTAATTTAGGGACCATAATAGGAACATCAAATCCATGTTTCTCCAGGTATCTTTGTGTCAGCTGACTGCCATGCATCTTTACAATGATTTCATCGGCACTAAGAAAACATAAGAATAAAATGTTATTTTTAGCCGAGCAGTGGTGGTGCATGCCTTTAATCCCAGCACTCGGGAGGCAGAGCCAGGCGGATCTCTGTGAGTTCGAGGCCAGCCTGGGCTACCAAGTGAGTTCCAGGAAAGGCGCAAAGCTACACAGAGAAACCCTGTCTCGAAAAACCAAAAAAAAAATGTTATTTTTATTGATAAGCTGTTCATAAAAGTCCTGAGGTAATGAGTTAACATGGAGAAAGAATGTGGAAGTATTTGTATCAGTGGTTCTCAACCTAATTCTCCTCTTTAAAACTTTCATAGAACCCTCAAAGTAAAATTCATATTTAATTAATAAAATAATAGATCATATGGGAATGAAAAATACTGGATGCAGTATAACAGTTATGGAGTGTGGCAAATCATATATTTACATGAAAAGGTACCTATGAAGTAGATCATAAATGTAAATTGTGTATCATTCATAACACAATCACATTTTTAAAGAATTATACATATATACATCTATAAACATAAATGTTTCAATGTAGAAAGAAAAGCTCAAAAGACATTAAGCCTGACAGAGGGGATTATGAAAACCTATTCAATTTATTTTATACAATATGTAAATTACATCAACTATATTTAATTCAATACTTACTGTTATCTTACTATAGTTTAAATAATCAAAAGCTTATGGAATTAATTAAAAGTAGCCCTTTAATTAACAACAGTAACAGTCTGGGCATTTGTGATCAGTTCTAACGATTCTCATCTGTGTTTATGTTGGCAGAAAAGTGTATGAATTACTAATAATTTGAGGGTCACAAATCTTTTAAATAAATGAAAGCCATATGTCTTCTCCCTGAAAAATGTATACCCACAGATACTAATTTGCATAGATGGTTCCTAGGAGGGGATAAAACACCTCTGAGACCTGTAAACAGGCCCAGACTAAAAATCTAGGGCTAGGCCCCAAATAAATCAAGCATTGTCCAGTAAAAGGGAAAACAAGCAAACTTCCTCCTGCAATTTGGAAACTGGTAATTGATAGCTTGAGAACAAGACGCTTAATTCAACAAAAATCATGTGTAAACACTGTTTCATATGTTTTCTATTTCTCAGCCAACCTGAGGGAGGCAAATGTGGATGGTTTGTCATCATGTTTCTGTTTAAGGACTAAAAGGTGGTGAACAGAGCAGAGCAATCTTAAAGACAGAGGGAAAATCTCAGGGTTTTCATTTCAGGACCTGAAAGAAATTCCATAATAGACTGAATGTGATACTGTGATTTAAATTTAAATTGTGCTTCCCCTCTTTAACAAGCTGAGATATGATCTTGTATAAAGCTTACTAAGCATTATCTCTTTAAAGAGATGTCAGGCAGTGAGTAGGAAATGATCTGAATTAGCACGATTAAATGCTTTTGCTCTCTCTTAGCCTAGACAACTCAAATATACTCCATTATTTTTCAGAATCAGAAAGCTCAGTCCTGATGCCATCAGAGGCGAAGCAAGGACCCTGCATGCGTCTGGTGGACCCCGGCACAGGCAGCTGATACAGTGATTGGAGAAAACAGAGGTGCAAAACAGGGAAAAAAGGGAGAAGAAAGAAAAAGAGAAACAGCGGCCACATTATCATAAGGAGTCAGAAATGAGGACTGCTTCCATCAGTGTATTTCAAATTCTGGGGATGAATATTTTTACATGGTGACCCAGTATGCATATGCATAAGTTCCGTGAAACTAAGCATAGTTCCTCCTATGACTTGATAGCTTCTACGTCCTTTACAGAAAAAAGTGAAAAGCCAATTGACACCAATGGCATGGTGCCACCAAAATTGAAAAACCCACTTTAGATAATTCCGCTTTATTAGCCAATGCTGTTAAATCTTGTTTGAGCCAGAATGAGGTTCCATACCTTGGGAAGACTCGAGAACGGAGCTCCTTCACAAAGGCCCTAGTTCCAGCCTGCACAGGTTTGGAGCCATCGTCCACTTCTGTGTAGTCGTGGCGGTGCCAGTTCCTCCTCTTCTTCACTGAAGAAAAAAGTCAGAAAGTCAGAAAAGGAAAACAGTTTTGTGGTTGGTAGCTATACTACCTCACTGTTATAGTCTACATAATCAGAAGGAACAACTATAGGAACAATGAAAACGTTCAAGTTTTTTATGCATTCCCAGGCCACAAAAGAAAATTTTACAAAAGCTAATGTTGTAATTATAAATAATTAACTGTGGGTTTTTAAATGCTTGATCATTTCATCAAAATAATTTAAAAATTAAATAAAAGAATTAAAAGCAGCAAATGAAGTCTTTTATTTACTCACATTTAACTATACTATAACATTTCCAAATTATTTTAAATTAGTTTATTAAAACACTGAGTCATACTATGATTAATCACATCATCCAAATTATCTTCTCAGGATAAGGCATTTTATTACTCATCAAAAATCCATTCCAGCCGGGCGGTGGTGGCGCACGCCTTTAATCCCAGCACTTGGGAGGCAGAGCCAGGTGGATCTCTGTGAGTTCCAGGCCAGCCTGGTCTCCAAAGCGAGTTCCAGGAAAGGCGCAAAGCTACACAGAGAAACCCTGTCTTGAAAAACCAAAAAAAAAAAAAAAAAAAAAAAAAAAAAAAAAAAATCCATTCCAACATCATAACACTATTCTCTTTTATATAAGGATTTTGTCTCCAAATAAGCACATTTATCCTGACATAAAGAACAGGGACAGGGGGCTGGAGAGATGGCTCAGTGTTTAAGAGCACTGACTGCTCTTCCAGAGGTCCTGAGTTCAATTCCCAGCAACCACATGGTGGCTCACAACCACTTGTAATGAGATCTGGTGCCCTATTCTGGCCTGCAGGGACATATGCAGGCAGAATACTGTATACATAATAAATAAATAAATAAATAAATCTAAAAAAAAAAGAACAAAGACAGTTCATCAAGACATAATTAAAGCAAGACCAGTGCTGTGATTTAAAAAAAAAAAAAAAAAAAAAAACTTCAAGGTTAGTTCAGATGCTAAATTCCTATGGTTCTAAAGCTGGGGGGTGGGGAAGATAATCTTGATTAGATTTTTTCACTTTCTTAAGAGTGAAAATCAGGAGACATATATTTAATTCTTAGTTCATCCATCAACTTCCTCTGCAACCTTGGAAAGGTCATTTGACACCTCTGGATCCAGATTTCTCAAAGTGGGAATGAAGGAGATGGAACAGAGTGATGATTTTTTTAAAGTATACCTAAGACACCCTTAACAAAGAGGAAGATGGTCAATGAAGAAAATGGCTACCTCTCTATCACTGTGGTCCTGCCTAAAGCTCATTTGTGTGATACCATGTAAGATTTCACTGTGTGTGCGCGCGCATGTATGTTCCAGGAAGACTCTAACCATGTAGCACAAGCTATGCTGGAACTCATAATCCTCCTGTCTCTGTTCAGATTATAAGTTTCAGGGTTTTTTTTTCTTTTATTTATTTGTTTGTTTGTTTATTTATTTATTAAGAAATTTTCTATTCACTTTACATACCAACCACAGATCCCCCCTCTTCCCTCTTCCCACCCCCCAGCATTCCCCTACAACCCATCCCCACATTTCCCAAGTCAAGGTCTCCCATGGGGAGTCAGCAGAGCCTGGCACACTCAGATGAGGCAGGTCCAAGCCCCTCCACCCTGCAGCAAGGCCGTATAAGGTGTCACACCCTAGGCACTGGTCTCCAAAAAGCCTGCCCAAGAATCAGGGACGGATCCGATCCCCCTGCCTGGGGAGCCCCCAAACAGTTCAAGCTAAACAACTGTCTCCTGTATCTGGAGGGCCTAGTCCAGTCCTATGGGGCTCCACAGCTATCAGTTTTAAAAGAATCCTTTTTAAAGTCTAAAACTCCCATCATTCAAACTTCCTGGTATTGATGTCAGCAACTTACTTAGAAATACATTATTACTTTTTTTAAAACATATTTTTAAATATATGTGCTTTATTGAATGTATTTTTTTTTTTTTTTGGAGCTGAGGATCGAACCCAGGGCCTTGCGCTTGCTAGGCAAGTACTCTACCACTGAGCTAAATCCCCAACCCACATTATTCTTTAAATAGTAAGAATGATTGACAGTGATATAACTACACAGAGAAATAAGGAGTAAAGCGAGTGATGGAAGATGATAACAGTATGAGAAGACTTATTGGTACTTGCTGTAAAATTACTTCAACTTTTCCTGTTTGTTTGGACATTTTCATAACAAAATGTTATAGAGAAAACAACCATGTGATTTCAAGATATTTTATCATTTTTGAGGCAAGGTCTCATGTAGCCCAGGCTACACGACCTTCCATTTTGGTAAACCAGACACCACTTCCTGAAGTGCTAGGATTACAGGCATGGTAAGCACACGACCATACCCAGTTTTCTGTAGTTCTGGGAATCAACCTCTAGACTTCGTGCATGCTCTACTAACTGAGCTACACCATAGCCTAATTTCAAGTTATTTTAAATATTTCCCTTACCACGATCATAACACTGGATCCCCATCTAGATAAAGGTCACAATTATAACCAACAGATGTAGAAATCACAATTATTTATATCTAAGAGTCTAAACCAAGATTCCCCAGTAACTAACTGTGACTAGATCTTCAATACAGAGGAGGTTCAGTGCCATCCTACCCACTTTAAATCTCCCAAGAAAACTTCTAAATTACATTCCACTAAGGTATCCCTTGTGCTTTATTCTCTCTCATTTGTAACCATTCATACAGTGGCTAGAGAGGTGGCTGGGCAGGTAAGAACACTTGCTGCTCTTGCAGAACACTAGAGTTCAGTTCCCAGCACCTACATCAGGTGGATCTCTGATGACCTTTCTGGCCCCTTCAGGCACCCACACAGGTGCACATACATATACAGACACACAAACACACATAAAACTAAAAACAAATCTTTAAAACCATTCCTGTAATTCAAGGGCATCTTAGTGTAGGTTTTCCTCTACTATACACAGATGGATATAAAATTTATTTCCATCTGGTATCACATGTTTTTATACTATTTTCTTGTTTTATGGGCATTTTCTCCTTATTAAATATTCAAAAGCAATTTAAAAGCAGACAATTTTAAAGTGTAGATGTGCCGTGTTATAATTATTTTTGATTCTTTTTCTTTTCTTTCTATTTTTTGGTTTTTCAAGACAGGGTTTTTCTGGGTAGTTTTGGTGCCTGTCCTGGATCTCGCTCTGTAGACCAGGCTGGCCTCGAACTCAGAGATCCGCTTGGCTCTGCCTCCTGAGTGCTGGGATTAAAGCCGTGGGCCACCACCGCCCCACTATTTTTGATTCTTAAGCACAGTAGTGGTTAGAATGAGAATGGTTTGCAGAGGCTAAATATATTTGAATGTTTGGTCCCTAGTTAGTGAACTGTCTGGGAAAAATTAAAAAGTGTGGTCTTGTTGGAAGAGTTGTGTCACTGGGGGGCAAGCTTTGAAGTTCCAAAAGTCTCTGCAATTTCCAGTACACATGTTCTCTCTGCCCCATGGTTGTTAATCAAGATGTGAGCTCTAAGATGTTCCTTTGCTCAGCTATCATGGACTCTAACCCTTTGAAACTGTAAGACAAATTAAATACTTTCTTCCATAGATTGCTTTAGTCATATTATTTCATCACAGTTGTAGAAAAGTAACTAAGACAAGCACTTCATTTGTTCTCAATCTTTCTTCATATAACATTATAATTAACAGCCATGTACATAAATCTGTTTCTGTGATTAATTCCTCAATATAAATTTCCAGAAATACTAGAATAAAATGTGGTGATTTGGCTGAGAATGGTCCCCAGAGGCTCCTACATTTGAATACTTGGTCCCCAGTTGGTGCCTGTTTGGGAAGGATTAGGAGGTGTGGTCTTGTTGGAGGAGGCGGTCACTATTTCAAGCCTCCCACCATTCCCAGTGCACTATCTCTGCCTCAGCTGCCGGCCCAGCCACCCGCTGCCATGCATTCACTCCACCACAACAAATGCCAACCGTCTGGAATCATAAACCCAATTAAACTCCTTCTTTCATAAGTTGCCTTGGTCATGGAATTTTATCACAGCAACCGAAAAACTAATACAAACAGCACTATTTTAAAGCTATTTGTTATATACTGCAAAACAGCCTCCAGGAAAGTGAGAATAATTCATATTCCTACCATACAGGTAGCCAAGCTCAAGGCTCTGTGTTAACAGGCATCATCATTAAAAAAAACAAAACAACAACAAAAAAGCTGCCCATCTGCTAAGTGAACTATGATGTTGCTTTTCCTCCCTTTGAGACAGGATCTCCCTACATACTACTAGCTGTTCTAGAACTTACTACAGAGAGCAGGCTGGTCTTGAACTCACAGAGATCCACCTGCCTCTGCCTCCCAAGTGCTGGTATTAAAGACATGTGCCACCGGGCCCAGCCAGATGTTCCATTTTTTATTTTAATTTCTGCAGAGCACATTAATCAGTAAAGTATACTCAATTTGTGATTTGATAGCTATGGGTCCAAACTACAGCTCTGACGAATAACTACACAATATTTAATTAGATACTTTCTTTTATATCTCATATAACATTGTTGCACATATTGAAGGAGATAATATAAGTCAAGTATTTACTCACTATAGAATCTGGTATATAATAACCTACCAAAATACTATAACTTCCTTTAATGTGCTGACCTATAGATTAAGAGAAGCATGCAATTGTCCTATTTGGCCAACAAGCTTGAAACAAATTCATCCACTACAACAGCTGACTGAATTTTTCTTAAGAGGAAGCCAGTGAAGGGCTAGTTTAAGTAGTGGTCACAGGGAAAGGGGAGAAAACGTCTGTCTTGGTTGCATGTGCCTCATGAACACAATATTATATTCAAATGCTGAGCAGCTTCCTGCTTTAAATAGGGTTCTTAATTCCTAACCATAGAGAATAATCCAATGAACTTTATTACATGGGTATTATAATGTCTTGATTATATCTATAATAAAGACATCTGGAATATTCAGACAGGGTATCAAGAAACACTTAGTAGCAGAGGGAAAGGAATCAAAAGAGATTACCCAAGTTGAAGTGGATGCTGAAGTGGAAGGAATGGGGGAAGGTGAGTCCTAAGTCAAGGCAAAACAGATTACTGCATCTTGAGCATCTTCCCTCCGAGTACTCAGAGTTGGATGCTTTCCCAGAAGAGGGCCAATGCCTGGTATGAAGTTCTTCAAAGAGAAGAGGGACTTGAAGGGCTAAATAATAGGCAAGCTTCTCTCTGAAGCATCATTATTCAAAGTGTAGGTTACAATCCATTATGGTCTGTGGAATCAATTTAGCAAGTGTGATAAGATTTTTAAAAAATGACATCATATGGAAAAAATACAATGTATCCCATGAAGTAGTACTAGTTCTTAGCAACACAGTATTTCATACAAATAAAATTCAAATCACTTCATTTGGGGAATATATATTTGAACTTTATACCAAAACCAATATAAAATTTAGTTGTTTGACTTGAAATAATAATACTGTACTATTTCCTTCTTCCTTATTCTTGACCAAAACTTATTTAACTTATATACAACATACACCAAGCAAGATTCATATAACAATTTTACCAGGTGTCTTAAATTTAAGTTTCATACTGTATACTATGAAAAAAGGTAACCTATATTTGACATAAACTATTTTTATGCATTACTAGAGCTTAAATTCCTAAATCTCTTATAAAGGGATTATGAAAATTATTAATATTTCTAATAAATGATCAGTCTAATTGTTACTAAGTCTCTTTTACATGTTATCTTCATATAACAAAATTTCTACTTGGAAAAGTACAAGGGGGCAAAACTCCATATTCAAAACAAAGAGGCTCTAGATTACCTACCTACCACCCACAGTTTATCAAAGTACCCTCAGTCAAAGGTTCCTTCTTGTTTTGTTTGGTATGTTTTTGAGACAGGTGTCACTATGTAGCCCTGGCTAGCCTGTTATGTAAACTAGGCAGTCCTTGAACTCACAGAGATCAGTCTGCCTCTGTCTCCCGAGTACTGGAAAGGGAAGCTGGAGGGACAGACTTTGGTGATTTGGGTGCTGGAAATTGAAGTTTGAGTTTAGCCTTTAATGGTTGAGCTATCTCTCCAGTTGCCTTTCTAATTTTAAAACAAAGTCTACAGTTTCCTTTAATTTTATGAACACAAAAATTATAGTTTGTAGTCAAAAATTCATAAATAAATAGCTATATTCCAAAGCCTTTTAAATATTTTCTCTTGCATCCGTACAATGACATCTCAATTTAGTCTTTGGAAGTATCTGTAAAAGACCGAATATTAATATTGTTTTGTTTCTAATGCTGGTATACTCTAGCCTAGTGAAAGAAAAGGATTCCAGACTTTACCTTGTCCTCTCTGAAAAGACTGTCATCAGAGACCTGAGTGGCCTTATCCTCATCTCTGTCTATCTCTCCATGGACACCAAAGTTGGGGAAGAAAGGAGTTTTAGGCAGATACGCTTTGACAACCAAATTCAGTAAATACATGCAATATTTTACCTATCCATCTCCTAAATATACAATGTGCCTCTGCCCATTAGAGTCAAATCTTTACTCTGCATATTGCTCCAATACAACATGATCTTATTAGTCACAACAGGTTTCCAGAATCAGGGAAGGGTTTCTTTGCCATGCTTTGTAAATTTAAAGTTTCTTTCTTTTTTTTTTTTTTAAGATGTAAAAATGTACTTAAATTTGAGGGCTCTCCATGAGCAATTAAAAATGTTAGTATTAGCCGGGCAGTGGTGGCGCACGCCTTTAATCCCAGCACTTGGGAGGCAGAGCCAGGCGGATCTCTGTGAGTTCGAGGCCAGCCTGGTCTACCAAGTGAGTTCCAGGAAAAGGCGCAAAGCTACACAGAGAAACCCTGTCTCGAAAAACCAAAAAAAAAAAAAAGTTAGTATTTTTCTCCCTTACACTTGTGGCATATTTAATAATTCAAACAAAGGCTTACCTGGAATCCTAGCACTTGGGAGAAAGAGGCAAGAAGATCAAGAATTTGGGGCCTAGCCTGGCGGTGGTGACACACGCCTTTAATCCCAGCACTCCAGAGGCAGGTGGATCTGTGAGTACGAGGCCAGCCCGATCTACAGAGTGGAAAAGAAAAAGAAAAAAAGAAAAAAGAAAAAAAAAGGAATTTGGGGCCAGTATGGGCTATATAATCAGACTACTTTAAAGTTTTAATTATTCTTTTCAGACAAAAACTGTACTGTAAGTATTTTTAATGAAACCTTCCCTAAGTTATTATGATATTTATTAGAGTATCATGAAAGTACCATCACATACATGTAATTTTCATTTAAGCGTTTAGTACTTACTCAAGGAAGAACCATGTAGAAGTGCACAGTTGGGGCAGTGATACAAGTCGATGTCAACAGCATGATGTTCTTCTACACCAACACAGCTACGATAAAGACAAATAAGAACAAAATATGAATGGAAATTTCACTTAACTATAAAGAAATGTTTGGACTCGAGGTGAGAAATGTACAATAACTCAAATAGCAAATCTGAAACATATACAAGAATAAATTGTATTATCCTTTCCATCCATACACTGGCTAATAATTGTGGGTGAGAATAGATCCAAATGTACATGAAGCTATTTACTTTCAGCATCAATGAAAACATCAAAAATATTGCAATTATAAGCATAAAACCCTCAAGCACTATGTAAATATCATCTTCTTAAATTATTGTCAATAAGTTGAGTCAAAAGGTAAGTCATAATGAGATTCTGAACAATATTTTCATCTAACAATGAATGCACTACATAATATAATTTGTAGGTTATAGAATTTGCAAATTCTATATAGCCTTAAATGAATGTGTTTAAAAAGGAAGCCTGGCATTACTGAGCTAAGCACATACACCTCAAGATGTTATGAAGAGCATCAAAACAAACCCTTGGAACACAAGCCCCATCAAAATTTCAGTTACATTCCTCACAAAACTAGAAAAGGCAATCCTAAAATAGTATGAAAGCACAAAGCAACCCTAAACAGAAAAGGCAATGCTGGAAATATCACAATACCTATCATCAACTTACCCTCCAGAGCCACAGTAACAGAAACGGCATGGTATCCCCACAGAAACAAATGGTGCTAGGGAACCAGACATTCCCACATAGAATGAAACTAGGTGCCTATCAGCACAAGAATCACTTCAAAATGGACCAAAGATCTTAAATTTAAGACTTCAAAATTTGAAACTGTTGGGGGGGGGGGGGGGAATAGGCAAAGCACTTGAAATAGGCACAGGCAAGGACTTTGTGAAAAGGCTCCTAATATTACACAGCAAATACTCCCAAGAACTGACAAGTGTTACTGCACAGAAGTAAAATGGAAACACTCGAGGCTGAAGAGATGGCTCTGCAATTAAGACCACTGGATGCTCTTCCAGAAGACCCAAATGGATTCCTAGCATAAATAATTTTTTCTAAACATAAATAAATCTTTAAAAAATTAAATTCTTCTGAAAATGACTATCAAATTCAGTTTAACCCCAATCAGTGTGGAATCTCACAAGATGATTCTAAAACTGGTGTCAAGGTGGAAAAAGCCAAGACTATGCAAGACAGTCAGATATTCTTAGAAAGAAGAACAAAGCTCTACTACGTATGAAAACGTATCTGAGAGGTCACTCAGAACACATGCCAGTGCTCCCAAATGCAGATCCAGGTACACAGCGACGCTCGTGCATAACGTAGGAGGGTCACTGAAGAGTAAAGAGACAGGGCAGACTTTTCGGTGTAAGGGTCTACTAAGATACATTTCGTTTATTTGTATGGGAAAAAGAAAAAAAAAATCTTACAATTGTTCTTGCAACGCACACCTTTAATCTCAGCACTTGAGAGGCAAAGGCAGGTGGATGTCTTTGAGTTTGAGGCCAGCCTGGTCTATAGTGAGACTGTCTCAAAAAGGGGCGGGGGTTATAAATGAGATTATAAACCTAAGTATAAACAAAAGGAAAAGGTGCAAAAAGTATACAGCATAATACTGAAAATACAACTTAGTGGTAGACAGTTTATCTTAAAACACAGAAGCACCCATAAAGGGAGAAACTGGTCATTTCAGTCATACTAAAGTAACTTCTGTTCATTAAACCACAATTTCATGTTAAGGGGCAAAATAAGTCAGAGTGAAGGACATTTCAATGCAGATACTCACTAAAGAAATTATACCCAAAGTATAATTAACTCCTCTACAAATTACTAAGAAGAAAGTCATGTGGCCAATACAAATATGAACTGTGCAAATTCATATATCTCAAATAATGAGAACGATAAATTAAAATGACAAAAAAAATTCCATAATATTCCACTACACCAGCTAAAAAATACCAAGCGTGAAGATACTAAATGTTGAAGACTGTGTGGAGCAATGGGGACTACTTAAATAAATTACTGGCAGAAATGTAATTCAATACAGCAGTTTTAGAGAACAAAACACATGCAATGTATACCAGAATATACATTCAAATGGCTAATCTATTTATAATAGTCTATCAACAATAAAATTACAGTATATTCTCATAATGGAAGTCCATACAGAAATGAATATTCTATGAAGAACTACAGCCCTACACAATGAAATAAATTCTACAAATTAGGAGGCTGGAGAGATGGCTGAGCAGTTAATAAGAATGTGTGTTGTGCCAGGCGGTGGTGGTGCACGCCTTTAATCCCAGCACTCGGGAGGCAGAGCCAGGCGGATCTCTGTGAGTTCGAGGTCAGCCTGGTCTACAGAGCAAGATCCAGGACAGGCTCCAAAACTGCACAGAGAAACCCTGTCTGGGGGGAATGTGTGTTGCTCTTACAGTCTTACAGAGGACCCCAATTCGGCTCACAGCACCCATGGTGGACAGGTCACAAGTGCCTGTAACTCCAACTCCAGAGAATCTAAAGTCCTTTTCCACCCTCTATGAGTACTGCACTCAACATACATAAACCACACTCAGACACACATAATTTTTTTTTATAATTCTACAAATTAACCCATTAAGTTTAAAAAGAGAAAAACAAAGAAAAAAGGACACAGTCAGGTGTCATGGCACACACCTGTTATCCCACCACTTCGGATCACCAGCTCAAGGCCAACTTGGGCTAGGTGTGAAACTCTGTTTTAAGAAAAAAAATTAAGATATAAAAGAAGAGCTGGCTAGGCATGGTGGCACACACCTTTAATCCCAGCACTCAGGAGGCAGAGACAAGTGGATCTCTGAGTTGGAGGCCAGCCTGGGCTACAGAACAAATTCCAGGACAACCAAATCTACACAAAGAACCCCTGTCTTGGGGGGAGGGAGGGATGAGGGAAGCTAAAGAGATGGCTCTGCAGTTAAGAGCACCTGTTGCTCTTAGAGAGGATCCAGGTTCAGTTCCCAGAACCATATAGCTCACCTGTACCATCTGTAACTCCAGTTCCAAGGGATCTGACCTCTGTGGGCTATTGACATGTACGTGGTATACATACATATATGCAGATAAATAATAAAGCTGAAAGTTCAAGTGTGAGAGCAAAGCATAACACCTCTACTCCCAACACTTCAGAGACAGAGGCAGGAGGGTCATCTAAAGTTCCAAGCTAGCCTGGGTCTCTATAGCAAGTTCCAGATCATCCACTCTCTGTAAGACAGAGAGACCCTGTCTTATACACACACAGAGGTCAGATGAGGCTAGTTAACATTGAGTAGCTAAAATGGAACAGACAAAAGATCTCTGTAATAATGATATGTATGTGATAGCTATCTCTGCATTCAATGCAAGAGCTCAAATCCAGACTACCTGGATTTTGAAAATGACGTTCATTAGGTATAATAGGCAGGCAGGCTCTTGCGCTCGCTCGCGCTCTCTCTCTCTCTCTCTCTCTCTCTCTCTCTCTCTGTTTTTTGTTTGTCTTTTTGTTTTGTTTTGTTTTTTTCCCTTTTTCTTCTCTTACACAGGGTTTCTCTATGTAACAGCCCTGGCTATCCTGGAACTTTCTTTGACCTCTCCTAGAACAGAGCTCCACCTGCCTCTGTCTCCCAGGTGCTGGGATTAAATGTGTCCACCACCACAGCGGGCTTGTGTAGTAGGTTCTCTTCTCCCAACAAAACAAAGACTTAAGCCCACAGAAATCCACTTAGCACTTCTAGAAAGACAGTATGGATTGTCTTCTTGTCTGGCTTGCCCTAACTTGACTATCACATTCCTTCTCCTTTAAGAAAGGATGGTAATACCAAAAGAATTAAGTATTGGGTCCTGGAAAACCTAAACTGGCTCATCGCATCAACTCATCTACAAACATCTAAAGTACATAAGGGTGACTCTCACAATACTCAGGGGAAAAGAGGAGGCAGGGATATTCAATTAGTTAAAGACATTCAGGGCAAAACTAAATGTTTTGACTATTAATTCTCAAAGACCCATGAGTTCCTCTCTCCAGCTTCTAATTCTCACCACCACCTCACCTCATCTATCTGCTTTATTAAAATGCCAGTGAGCTAGTGTGGTGATGCACATCTCAAACGCTAGCATTAAGACAACTGAAGGAAGGATCAGGAGTAAAAGATCATCCTCGATACACAGTGAGTTCATGGTCAACCTGGGTTACATGAGACTATCTCAAAAAAAGCACAAAATAAAATAATGTAATATATATTAAAATATAAAATATAATACCAGAGTTGTCTTCTGCTTTTGGCTAATTCTCACCAACTAGCAGAAAGAACACACCTAAACTGATTTAGAAACTTCAACACTTAGCAAATTCGGTAAATCAGAAATAGTCAATTTGTGTGATGGAGAGACAGCTGGGGTTAAAAGTACTTGCTGCTCTTGCTGAGGACCCAGGCTTGGCCCCCAGTACCCATATGGAGGCTCACAACTATCTATTAATTCCAGTTCTAGGGAATCTGACATCCTTTTCCTCTGTGGGGACCAATGCATGTACAAAGTATACTTTTATGCATGCAGGCAAAAACTAATTCACCTAAAATAAATAAAAATATCTTTAAGATAGTAAATTTGGTAAGTGAATAAATCTGAAAAGGCCCATTTAAATTAACCATACAAAATGTAATTCTAAAATTAAAATGTAATGTTTCCCAACCAACACACTTTTCTATCAAGCCTATCCACTCCACCCTCTTACTGCTCACTGAAAGAACCCTACAATCTCTCTAAGAAATGGTAAGAGAAAGAGAGCAGGACTCTGAGATATACAACTCTGGAAGCAAAGTTTCAAGGCTGTTTTTTCAATCTGGCACAAAACCAGATTAGTCTCCTCTCTATTTCTCTTTTTAAACCTCCCTTCCTATAACAAGCTGTCACAGTTTTCCTAACAGCAGAAAATTCAGTTTACTAGACCATTGTGTGTGGGGGGGGGGGGGTCCTGTGGGGTGACAATATGACCTTTGCTGAATAGT